ACATCATAAGAAGGAAGGTGAAACGACATGCAACCTATGAAGAGACAACTAACACAACACCTGTACTCGATATTAGACTATTTTACAGGAACTTCTTTTCCACAGCTCATAAAACGGAGGACAGGGTCCTAAAAGATATTGTTAATAGGAACGTTATCCCTACAGACAAAAATCAGAAGATACAATTGACGATTTACTATAAAACCAAAAAAACGGCCAATCTACTCATGAGAAACTCTCCAGACACAAAACAGAATGCTTTAAAAGAGACCAATGTCGTCTATGCCTTCAAATGCCCACTTGGGGACTGTAAGCCTCAAGGAACTCAGTATATAGGCAAGACAACATCTCTTTCCAGGCGATTAATGATGCATAAGCAACAGGGCTCCATTAAGGAACATATAATCTCTTCCCACAACCAGACCATCACCAGAGAAATCTTAGCAAACAACACAGAAATCATCGATAGATACAGCGATAGCAGGCGGCTTGACATCTGCGAGGTACTACACATCAAGAAGTCAACACCAGCAATCAACAGCCAATTAATGCACAACTATATTCTACCCACTTGAAGACTCTGCACCAATATAGAAGCATCAAGAAATATGGGCCAATAGGCCCTCTGGAGTTACTTCCATTCTTACCTTTAATTTACCCAATTAATACCCATTGTTTTGTGTTCTGTCTTGTGTTGAAAGTTTTGTTCACCTCATCCAAAACTGTTGTAACATATCACCTCACTCAAAATGCGGGTATAAAATAAAATGAAAGCTGTTTAAATCATAGCATAGTAAGAACTCTGTTTAGTGTTTGCAGGTTATAGTTATGTGTGTGTAAACTTTGTGTGTGTGTAAAGTCTTTGAAAATGTAATAAGTTATTACGAAACGCGTTCAAGTGTCGCGTCAGACTAGAAATAAAAATGAATTTTGGAGAACTAATTTTTCAATTACCATCAACAGTGAAAAGAAACATAAGAAATATTGAGAAAATTCGTGTTAGAATTATTAATCTTATATATGTCTACAGGAAAGACTGCTACCAAATATATATATATATATATATATATATATATATATATATATATATATATATATATATATATATATATATATATATATATATATATATATATATATATATATATATATATATATATATATTATTAAATATGACCGAAAAAGTAAGATTAATAATTCTAACACGAATTTTCTCAATCTTTCGTACATTTCTTTTCACTGTTGGAGGTAATTCAAAAATCAATTCTCCAAAATTCATTTTTATTTCTAGTCTGATGCGACACGAGCGCGTTTCGTAAAACTTATTACATTTTCAAAGACTTTAGTTTACAAATACACAACTGAATAGAACTTACGCATCTCCGATTTTGTTTATTTCTACATTTGAGTGAGGTGGATGGGGTGAGGTGGTATTAATAGGGTATTAATTTCATCAACACAAGACAGAACAAGAGGTGGCATTAATAGAGTATTAATTTCATCAACACAAGACAGAACACGAAACAATGGGTATTGAAATGGAAGTGATTGTAGAAAGCCTATTGGTCCATATTTCTTGATGCTTCTATATTGGAGCGGAGTCTTGAGGTGAGTAGAATATAGTTGTGCATTAATTGGCTGTTGATTGCTGGTGTTGACTTCTTAATGTGTAGTGCCTCGCAAACGTCAAGCCGCCTGCTATCGCTGTATCTATCGATGATTTCTGTGTTGTTTACTAGGATTTCTCTGGCGATGGTTTGGTTGTGGGAAGAGATTATATGTTCCTTAATGGAGCCCTGGAGAAGCCCTGTTGTTTATGCATCGTTAAACACCTAGAAAGAGATGTTGTTGTCTTGCCTATATACTGGGTTTTTTGTAGCTTACAGTCCCCAAGTGGGCATTTGAAGGCATAGACGACGTTAGTCTTTTTTAAAGCGTTCTGCTTTGTGTCTGGAGAGTTTCTCATGAGTAGGCTGGCCGTTTTTCTGGTTTTATAGTAAATCGTCAGTTGTATCCTCTGATTTTTGTCTGTAGGGATAACGTTTCTATTAACAATATCTTTCAGGACCCTTTCCTCTGTTTTATGAGCTGTGGAAAAGAAGTTCCTGTAAAATAGTCTAATAGGGGGTATAGGTGTTGTGTTAGTTGTCTCTTCAGAGGTTGCATGGCGTTTCACTTTCCTTCTTATGATGTCTTCGACGAAACCATTGGAGAAGCCGTTGTTGACTAGGACCTGCCTTACCCTACAGAGTTCTTCGTCGACTTGCTTCCATTCTGAGCTGTGGCTTAGAGCACGGTCGACATATGCGTTAACAACACTCCTCTTGTACCTGTCTGGGCAGTCGCTGTTGGCATTTAGGCACATTCCTATGTTCGTTTCCTTAGTGTAGACTGCAGTGTGGAAACCTCCGCTCTTTTCCATGACTGTTACATCTAGAAAGGACAGCTTCCCATCCTTTTCCATCTCGTAAGTGAAACGCAGCACGGAACTCTGCTCAAATGCCTCCTTCAGCTCCTGCAGATGTCTGACATCAGGTACCTGTGTAAAAATGTCGTCAACATACCTGCAGTATATGGCCGGTTTCAAGTTCATGTCGACTAAGACTTTTTGCTCGATGGTACCCATGTAGAAGTTTGCAAACAGGACACCTAGGGGAGAACCCATGGCGACCCCATCTACTTGCTTATACATGTGCCCATCCGGGCTCAAGAAGGGTGCCTCTTTAGTACAAGCTTGGAGTAGTTTCCTTAGAATATTTTCTGGTATGTCAAGAGGAGTACAGGCTGGATCACGATACACTCTGTCGGCTATCATCCCGATTGTCTTGTCCACAGGTACGTTGGTAAACAGCGATTCTACGTCCAACGAGGCTCTTATCCCTGTGGCCCGTGTGCCCTGCAGTAAGTCAACAAATTCCTTTGGAGACTTCAGGCTGAAGGCGCAAGGAACATAAGGAGTCAGCAGGCCGTTGAGTCGCTTCGCCAGTCTGTACGTGGGTGTGGGTATCTGGCTAATGATTGGCCGAAGTGGGTTTCCAGGCTTGTGTGTCTTGACATTTTCATATGCATATCCAGGTTTATATTCCCCAATGATCTTTGGCAGGTGGAGTCCAGATTTCTTGGCGTTCACAGTTTCGATCAGTTTGTTGACCTTTGCTTTCAATTCGGCTGTAGTGTCCTTCGTTACCCTTTGGAACTTAGTTTGGTCAGAGAGTATGAGGTTCATTTTCGCCAGATATTCGTCTTTTTTAAGAATGACATATATTGGCGACTTGTCACCTCTCCTGACAACTATCTCCTTGTTCTCACGAAGGCTTTTAGCTGCCGCTTTGAGCTCGGGGGACAGTATGGTGCTTCTGTAATTGCCTCGATTCTTTCCTCCTTCTGCAATAAGTTCTGCTTGTAAGGTATCTTTGGTAGTGACCTTCTTAGAAGAAGAGAAGAAGGGTAATCAGAGGGTACAACTGACGATTTACTATAAAACCAGAAAAACGGCCAGCCTACTCATGAGAAACTCTCCAGACACAAAGCAGAACGCTTTAAAAGAGACCAACGTCGTCTATGCCTTCAAATGCCCACTTGGGGACTGTAAGCTCCAAAAAACCCAGTATATAGGCAAGACAACAACATCTCTTTCTAGGCGTTTAACGATGCATAAACAACAGGGCTCCATTAAGGAACATATAATCTCTTCCCACAACCAAACCATCGCCAGAGAAATCCTAGTAAACAACACAGAAATCATCGATAGATACAGCGATAGCAGGCGGCTTGACGTTTGCGAGGCACTACACATTAAGAAGTCAACACCAGCAATCAACAGCCAATTAATGCACAACTATATTCTACCCACCTCAAGACTCCGCTCCAATATAGAAGCATCAAGAAATATGGACCAATAGGCTTTCTACAATCACTTCCATTTCAATACCCATTGTTTCGTGTTCTGTCTTGTGTTGATGAAATTAATACTCTATTAATGCCACCTCTTGTTCTGTCTTGTGTTGATGAAATTAATACCCAATTAATACCCTATTGTTCTGTCTTGTGTTAATGCCACATCACCCCTTCCACCTCACTCAAATGTAGATATAAAATCGGAGATGCGTAAGTTCTATTCAGTTGTGTATTTGTGAACTAAAGTCTTTGAAAATGTAATAAGTTTTACGAAACGCGCTCGTGTCGCGTCAGACTAGAAATAAAAATGAATTTTGGAGAATTGATTTTTGATTTACCTCCAACAGTGAAAAGAAATGTACGAAAGATTGAGAAAATTCGTGTTAGAATTATTAATCTTACTTTTTCGGTCATATTTAATAATATATATATACATATACATATACATATACATATACATATATACATATATATATATATATATATATATATATATATATATATATATATATATATATATATATATATATATATATATATATATATATATATATATATTATATATATATATATATATATATATATATATATATATATATATATATATATATATATATATATATATATATATATATATATATATATATATATATATATATATATATTGTTGAATATGAGTTTTCCAAGTCAACCTTAGAAACACTTTTTATGAGAGTCCATAATTCAGACTTCATTCCGTTTGTTAACTGAAAATTTTGTTTTTAATAAGGAAGCTTTAATAATGCCATCACTGTTAATAATATTGATATTATTATTATAAAATCCTGTAATTATTTTTACATGAACTCAAGATGCACAAAGTAATCTCAAAAGCGTATATATATCTATGAAAAAATATTGAGATCGATCCCATCCTATGGCCTTGATGTCTTGTGAGTGAACATGACTCACGCCTGACGGTCCGACCTGGAGGACGGACGGAGTGATAGATAGGAGGAGATTAAGGGTAACCGCAGATGTTCACATGTTCCCAGTTGCTGGACCTCCAACACAGGAAAAAGCTTGTATATAAGCGAGCAGTAGAGCTAGTGGGAGCCATCCGAGCTCTGCTGACCAGCTGGACAAGACCAACATTCCACTTTCTGTGAACTCCGAATCCTAAGTTCCGCCATCATGAAGGTTCTGTGCTTCGCTCTCCTCGCCGGTGTTCTCCTCCTGGCCCCCAGCGTGCCCGCCCAGGTACTACCCGACTTCCACTTTAATGTGTTAATATTACATAGAGTATTGCAACGTCTGTTTCACGGAACTAAATCTATATATAATGCCTGTTGCGAGAATGGTTTCGTCGTTGTCGGGGGACACGAAGACTTATCAAGACTTATCTATACGACGTTTCGGTCCGTCCTGGACCTTTATCAAGTCGATTGTGGATAATGGTTCGTCCTGGCTAATGGTCCAGGACGGACCGAAACGTCTTCGTCTCTTCAATTTCTAGTGTGTGGTTTGGTCAACATTTTTCAGCCACGTTATTGTGACTCTTAACATTCATCTGCAATGCAGAACATAATTTCATCTTCATAATATCCCGCCTTGTGCTGCCCACTCACACAGTATTGCAATAGAGAAATGTAACTTCATCACAGCGATATATACACCGAGAAGTGTTTTCATTAGTTCACTTATTTTGCACCCTATACCCATCCTGTGGGCGGTAGTGGACACCATACCCATCCGGTGGGCGGCAGTGGACCCCATACCCATCCTGTGAGTGGTGTTGGACCCCATACCCATCCTGTGGACGGTAGTGGAAAGGATTACAGAGGCAGATAATGGGCTCAGGGACTGAACCCCAAATTTCATTTAGTAAAGCAAGTTATTTATTTATTAATTTACATATATATATATATATATATATATATATATATATATATATATATATATATATATATATATATATATATATATATATATATATATATATAAGAAGGTACGTTGAGTTGAAGTTGATGGTACATTAGGTTGAAGAGTACATAGCATTGATGTTTTTACATTCTTGTAAAGCCACTAACACGCATAGCGTTTTGGGCAAATCCTTAATCTAACAAATAATTTTAAGTAGGTAATTTGTGGCAAAACTGAAAAAGTTAACAGGTACACTGTAAGAAAATTTGAAGAAAATTAATAAGTACATTATAGTAAAACTTGAGGCTTATCAACAGGTACATTGTAGCATAATTTGAGGCTTATTTCTAGGTACATTATAGTAAAGTTTGCGTTCAACACAAAACCATGATATAAGATGATAGCAGTGATTACAACAATAAAGTTATATGGCATAGGCACATATTTTGGGGTAGGGGTAGCAGTTAGTTTTGATAAGCTAGTCACAAAATGTAATGTATATCGTTTATATAATCAATGAATTAGAAACCGTCCACACACGTACTATGTAAACGAAGCAGCTTACATATGTGGTGAGCTAGTTTCATAATTAATATGTTTATCGTGAACACCTCACCCCCCCCCCCCCCCATTCAGTCAGCAGCGGTGGATCGGTTACAGTCACTGACAGTTACCAGCTACAGTTAGTAAAATGGAGAGTATACGCACAGGGAGTTTACTGTAGTCCATAAGTAAATTATAAAATACATAATACAAAAGTATTATTGATGGTTGGTCAATAAGCTGTTGTTGCCTTAATAAGTCTCCGTGGCGAAGTGGTAAAACACTCCCCTGGCGCTTCGCGAGCGCCTTTAAGTTCAAGTATGTTTATTGAGATAAGAAAGAAATACATCTCAAAGAGATAGAGTAGCTTAGGCTATTTCTACCCCCCTGTACTTCAAGTCCCTTAAGGGGCGCACAAATTCAGTAAGTACAAATAGACAAAAAACATTACAAGAATCCTATTTAACATTGCAGGTTAATATAGTAAGCACAGCATATAATTGTTACACTCTTGGGGCAAAATTCTTGTAGCTCCTAAGTATACTGTCTATCATACCATTATCACGCATCCAAACAATTTGATGTGTTACACTACTTATTTCCTTATTTCTATAGTTATCAATAAGTTGACACTCTAATACATAATGTTCTAAGGTGTGGGCGTGCGGCATACTACATAATTTACACTCCTTATCTTTTTCACTGATATCAACACCGTATAACCATATAAATTCTTGTATATAAATCTTGTATTCTTGCATCTTCTTGCATATAAATAAATAAATACAAAATAATAAATAAATAAATAAGGTTAAGGTGAGAAATGAGGAGTTATACAATGCAATATATATAAATGTATATATATAATTATATTGAATTCTCCTGCAATCAGTTCAATGATGTTGTTGTGACTGAAGAGTTTGTACACTCTCCTGAAACTGCTTTCTTAGATAAGTTTAGCTTCCCTTGAAGATCGCGAGTGGCTGCTTCACTCACATTTAATTTGTCTCAAAAAACTAAAGAATAACTGCTGTTGCATGGTTTTCCTGACAATAAATAATAATAATTGATATTTATGTAAGAGTACATACATAGGAATTGTAGAGAAGGGGAGAGTTGGAGACGCACTTTACATAAACCCACCAATGCGCAGAGTGTTTCTGGCGTAGCGTAAAAACAATTTAGAGAAAATGAACATGTACAATGGGGTAATACTGAAAACTAAATGAGATATGGTAACAGTTTTGAATTGTTGAATGATAATTTACAATTTTACATCTCTTTCAGAGTAAGAATCTTCGAGCAAATTCTGTAGTCAGGTAAAGGTGCCTGAAGGTGAGGTACTGGAGCAGGTGAGGTACTGGAGCAGGTGAGGTACTGGAGCAGGTGAGGTACTGGAGCAGGTGAGGTACTGGAGCAGGTGAGGTACTGGTGAAGGTGACGTACTGGATGGAGTAGGTGCTGAAAGTGAACAGACACACAGTTACAGCCTCGCTCCTGTGCCAGGTAAGTCCTCTACGGGGACACCATAGCCCATGCTACTAGGAACTTTTTGTTTCCAGTAGCTGAAACTTAAGCAATAACAGTGAACAAAGAAGAGTGAGAGTTAATCCCAGGCTTTAAGATCCTCTCTTGTGAAGAAATATTAATAAACCATGATTGATATCCTTTAGAAAGGCGAGAAGTTAGGAGGGACATACATGAAACCCACTAATGAATGAAAAGTATACAGAGAAACATTAATAAGGTACAAATTATACCAACACTAAACCATGAAAACATCGGGAACAAAGTCGATGACTTTAGACGAAGAACAGAACTGGGGACTCAGTGGTTTGGAAAATAAGGTTGCTTGATTTACAGTACAGACGTGAGGTCACTGGATTGTTCCGAGGGTTGACCAGATTATGAATGTTTGTGGTTGGTTGGGGGATGCCACCCATGGACCAATCTGCCTACCACAAGGGGTCCATTTTGGGGCCAACCCTTTTTTATCATTTACATCAATGACATAGACAAGAACATTACAAACCACGTCATCTCAGAGCTGCAGATGACACTAAGATTTATGATAAAATAGGAAATGAAAGTGATATTGAGGTCTTACAAAGGGATCTGCACGAACTCTTACAAGTGAACGGAAGACTGGAAAATGCTTTTTAATATGAATAAATGCAAGACCTTGCATCCGGGCATAACAATGCTCATCATAATTCGGAGTCAGAATCCTCCAATCTCTGAACGTTGCACAACAAGAGGAAGCTGCAGGGAGAAAAGCCAACCAACCTACACCCACAGTCTCCGTGGTGTAGTGGTAAGACACTCGCCTGGCGTTCCGCGAGCGCTATGTCATGGGTTCGTATCCTGGCCGGGGAAGATTTACTGGGCGCAATTCCTTAACTGTAGCCTCTGTTTAACGCAACAGTAAAATGTGTACTTGGATGAAAAAACGATTCTTCGCGGCAGGGGATCGTATTCCAGGGACCATAGGATTAAGGACTTGCCCGAAACGCTACGCGTACTAGTGGCTGTACAAGTATGTAACAACTCTTGTATATATCTCAAAAAAAAAAAAAAAGAATTTGTCTAACAATAGTCAAATTAGTTCTTTTTGACTAAGAATAGTCAAAAGAACGTTTGACTTCAAGTAAAAGAAGATAATTATTCAACTGCATAAATATCTTGGATTACCGTCACTTGGGTAATTAGGTAATTACGCTCACTTGGGTAATTACCCACACTTGGGTAATTAGGTAATTACCCACACTTGGGTAATTAGGTAATTACGCTCACTTGGATTATTGTATCCAAGCATGGAGACCTCAACTTCAGAAGGACATATCTACTTGGAGAAAGTTCAACACAGGGTGTTGAAGATACCTCAAAATAAGGGTTATCTTGAGATGATTTCGGGGCTTAGCGTTCCCTCGGCCCGGTCCTCGAAAAGGCCTCCTTTTAGTTACACATCCCCAGGAAGCAGCCCGTAGCAGCTGTCTAACTCCAAGGTACCTATTTACTGCTAAGTGAATAGGGGCATCAGTGTGAAAGAAACTCTGCCCATTTGTTTCCGCCTCCACCGGGGATCGAACCCGGAACCCTAGGACTATAAATCCCGAGCGCTGTCCACTCAGCTGCCAGGGCCCCTCAGGGTAAGAAAAGTCATTTCAGAACTAAGTCGACTTCCATACAGGCAACGGTTGAGGGCCACAGGGCTAACAACACTGCAAACCAGACATGACAGGGCTGATCTCATCTAAACTTTTAAAATATTGAACGACTTGGAGGATATTGATCCAGACCACTTCTTCAAGAAGTCACATGTAACACAAACAAGGAGCAACGGCCTCAACCTCAACAAGTCACAATATTGAAAGGAAAACAGGATATGCATTTTTCACCCACAGGGTTATAAACCCGTGGAACCACATACCCGCCGAAGCCATTAATGCAAAAACATTGCAGCAATACAAGATGCCGTTGAATAACTTCATTAGGACAAATGGAAGACCTTTGACAAGCCGCCGGCTTCCTGTCCTTGTCGAATTCACTAGAGACTTAGTGGCCCTTGGGTAAATTCAGGTAAAGAGACTGAAAGGTTTAGCCTGCTTCTCTTCTGTGTATATATACTGAGAGGTGTTTCCTACTTCTACACCGAAAGGTGTATCCAACTTCTCTTCTCCATGTATATACATTGAGAGGTGTACCCTGCTTCTCTTCTTGGTGTAAATACACTGAGGGGTGTATCCTACTTTTCTTCTCGGTGTATATACACTGAGAGGTGCAGCCCGTTCCACCGTGAATATTTATTGAGAATTTAGTTCTGGGCATTGTTTAGGACAAAGTATTTGCTGGTTGACTAATAAACTATTGTGTAATGTCCTTAATTACCCTCTCGCAGTTGATAAATTGTCATCAGTGTTTGGTGTCAACGAGGTATATTCCGCAGGTAGCGTGCTTGTGTATATTTGTGGACACTGTGTGTGTGTGTGTGTGTGTGGACACTGTGTGTGTGTGTGTGCTTGATGCATGAGTGCAAGCTAAGGAAAGCTGCAGACAGTGTGTACAGCGCTGTAGACAAGTTTACGTCTAACAAATGCCAGGTAATATCAAACACTATAGGTTCTAATTTTGGAAATGATTGCCTCGCTGGCCGCCAGGGGGTCAAGATGTGCTCGCCTGACCTGCCAGTTGTTGCCTGATGTTGAGTGGAGGCGGGTGCGGTGCGGTTTGCTGTCTGTGTTGTGCGTGTTGTTTTCCCGGTGCCTGCGTGCATCACATGTATGGATGGTTTGTTTCTGTTGCGGCTGCTTCTGTGCTTGTATGTTTGGTTTGGTGCGTTTGTGGGTGGGTGTGTTTTTTCCTTGCTCCTGCGTGGGCTTTTTTGTTTGCCCTGTAAGAGTTGTATTCGTTATGCCTTTATATGTTATTTCTGGTATGTGTGCTTTTAAACTCCTATGTCTCTGGAGCATGTCTTCGTGTATTTTGTGCTTCTCTGTGTGAGGTTTGAAGTGCCCGAGTTTATACCCTGTTATCCGCCCCTTTCACTTGTCGGGGTATTTGTATTCATGTTCCTGTTTTATGGATGTTCTTTTTGCCGTTAATTGCTGTTATTTGTCTCTTTCATGTGCCATGTGTTTTTGACTTGTGCTGCTTATGTATTATTTTTCCGTTCTATCCTTTTTGTGCTTTGTATTCTGCCTTTTTTATATAAAAGAAAAGAAAAAAAAGTGCTTTTGTTTGTTTTTTGTACTTACGGTTCCCTGTGTGGTTCTGTTTGCTGTTATTAATGCCTTGTGTCCTGTACTGCATTTAGTTTGTTTTATGTACAGAGGGTCGCCACACCTGGTGTTGGAGTTTATTTGTTTGTATCATGTGTATTTCTCTATTGCTTATTCGTGTATTTCCCTTTTGATTATTCGTGTCTTTGGGTTCTTTGATGTATTACTGTATTCTGTGTATTTTGTATGTACTCATGTTTTTTGTGTATGGTTTTCTGTTTGTACTGTGGTTTTCTTTTATAAATAAATAAATAAAAATTGGAAATTAATTATTTGATCTTTTTGAACTGGATAAAGAACTAAGAATATAAACAGTAATTAGCATTATCATCATGAGATGCCTTATATCTAGTGAGTGCTAAACAGAGCGTTATTGTTTGCAAGTGATTGTCTAAATTAACACCATGTAGTACATAAACTTTACCATAATTTGTGTTGATTTTGTAATCAATGTTAATTAGACGATGTTAACATTTTCAGTATGCAGAGACAATGGCTATTGCGCATTCGTGTACAACGGTTTCTGCTTCTTGAAGGCCAACGTGGCTGCGGCGTGTCCAACAGGCAACATATATAACGCTGGCTGTGCCGGACGCAGCTGTGCCTGCTGTGTCCCAGGTCAGAACTCTTAACCTATCACATTAACATACCTTTATTACTTTCCCATTGTCGGGGACAGGAAGCCTGTTTCAGGCTTCCTGTCCTCAACGGGAGAAAGGTTAGGCTTACCTTTTATCCTTTTCAAAGCATTGAAATTAAATTTTGTATTAGATTTTTTTTTATTTATGGTGAGCTGTCGTGGGAAAACCCCACTGAAGATGATAATGGTGGTTACTCAGACCTCGTTGCTAGTTGCAAAGGGGTTCCCACAGCAGTTCATGCATCAGGGGCCCCAACAGCATTTCATGCATCAGGGGCCCCAAAACTGTAGGTCTTCCATTGTACATTATGTGTTTTTGTTTTCGTATTGGCATCCTTGGTGATATTTAGCGCCCTCTGATTATTCCGCACATTTGATGGTGCTACATAGCCTTCCCGGTTTGGTGCCTTCTTTTGATAATTACTTACTTACTTCCATTGTACATATATAGATATTGGTAAATTTAATTGTAAAAGAGAATTAGTGGTAATGGTTAGTAAAGTAATTGAGCCAACAATGAATTAATGAACGAAATAAGGCAACAATGAGTTAATGAACGAAATAAGGCAAATGGAATATGTGTTTTTTATACAGAAGTGTTAGCAATAAAATTACCAAAATGCCTTGCACTAATATAAGACAATTACTAGTAAGTAATAATTCATATTACAGAATGAACATAAATTCTCTCGAAAAAAAATTACGTAGAATTAAGAATTAATGATGTCATTCAACGTAGAATGACATAGTTAATCTTGCCAATCCCGAGTACTGTACTAGGGATCTTTGTTACGAAGACAGACAAGGAGAATCTCAGTTACATTTTCTGTCAACACTGTGGACGACAAGGAGAGACATAATATCACAGTTTACAAGAGGAAGAAAGTCATTTACAAGTGGGATTAATATATTGAAACACTTAAAAAACAATGAATAAACTAATGCAAATGGTTTAATGTAAATATTAATAATTGCAGATGTAACCAAGTGCATTGCGAAGCCTAAGTGTTATAAACTTGGAGGTTCTTGCGTGAAGACTGCCGATCCTTGCGCCAAGGCTAATAGGAACCCTACTTTTTGCAAAGGGACCGGTTGTGCCTGCTGTTATTAAGGTGAGTACCGAGTCTGCTGTTATTCACATGAGTCCTACACTGGTGTGGGTTGCATCCGTGGCAAGGTCAACAGGCAAGCAAAGAGGATCTTGATAACATGATAAACAAAACATGCTTCCTGTGTCCAACACTTTGACTCCTCGGTCTTGCGGAGGTCTCGCACTTTTTGCAGGTCGGCGTTCGATCCCCGACGGCCTAAGTGGTTGGGCACCGTTCCCTCCATCCTATCCCGACTCTGTCCTCCTATCCCATCCAAGTGCTTTAGTCAGACTCTTACTCCTCAAAATGACTTTACCTTCCTGTTCCCAATAATAGGAACAAATATATAATTAAACACTTAAATTGACATTTTCCTCATTAAAATAGTGTTAAAGCAAGACAACTTTAAATTCATAACTAGCCCGTTTGAAAAAAATAAAACTTCACATTTGTTTAGTGTGTATTAAGACAACCATATAACAGTTTACTGATCAATCAACAAATATACTTTAGTCCTGAATTTAGTCCACGGCTAAACTCTCATTGTATTTACTTGAATTCACCTGAAGGCCACCATCGCTGAAGGCCTCGGATAAGGACAGGAAGACAGCAGTTTGTCAAAAGTCCCCCTCACCCTTCCTGAGGATATTTTTCAGCTGAATATTACACGGAAGCAGTGCGGTGAAATGCTTCTCGGTCTATACTGAGTACATAATGGCTTCTGATCTCTATATTAAAAGTTTCAGGCAAAGAAAAAACGGAAGACCTAGAGATCTACACTAACCCCACCAGCTCCAGAACTGGTACAGCCAGTCCACCAGGGCTGAAAACCACCATGAAAACCCCCATCCGTCCCCAGATCTCTAGTATCTCGTATCTGCTATTGATATAGATAATGGCTCCAAAGAGCCTCCACTTACGGGCTCACCATAGCCCGTGCTACTTGGAATTTTTTGTTTTGAGTAGCTGAATCTTAAACAACAACTTCTATTTTATGATTACGGGCTATTCATGCCCGTGCCACCTTTTGGGTGGCCTAATCTTTATCATCTATAATATATTTATATTTTCTTTGCAGAACTGACGACGGCGAGGCAGAGGGCAGACTTAACCATACACATGGAAGGTCAATTGAGCTGTTAACTCTTACCACGAAGACATTCCTTAGAAAATAAAAAGTAGAGTGTATCATTTAACTCTTTTTTTTAGTATTGGTGTTCAATTGTGTGTGAGGGATGATTAGGAATTACTTATTCCATACGTAGGTTCATCAGCATTATAATGAGGCTCTCATACATTACCCTCCGGTTTAGCAATGCATTAAATCCCACTTAATCAATGCATATTTTTATTAAAAATGCTGAAAAAAATCTAAATTTTCTAAAAATTAATTATATATTTGTGTTAATGTGTGTGAAAGGCAGATCCTTGCCTAAAAATTTGCACTGCACTGAAAATTCCAGAATTTAACAATAGTGTGCTTATTCATTTAGGTAATTCACAAAATAGCTAATACTAAAATAATTGTTTATTTTCTGAATTATCCATCCTCTACATTTATTGTGTAGTTAAATTTCACTCTAATTTTAATTGGAATTACAAATTATTTTCCATACGGAATCTATCAATAATGATCCTGTGGTTTGTGCACGAAGATATTATGTGATTAAATATATGTTTGACAAACACGCAAGTTTCATAGTCCTTTACCATATGCCGTTACAGGATTTCTCCATGTGAATACTCGATCTTCTACCATAAATACCACCATCACACAGAACAATCACCACCACACAGAACCACCACCATCACACAGAGCCACCACCATCACTTAGAACCACCACCATCACATAAAACCACCACCATCACACAGAACCACCACCATCACACAGAACAACCACCACCACACAGAACCACCACCATCACACAGAACAACCACCACCACACAGAACCACCACCATCACACAGAACAACCACCACCACACAGAACCACCACCATCACACAGAGCCACCACCATCACTTAGAACCACCACCATCACACAGAACACCATCACACAGAACCACCACCATCACATAGAACCACCACCATCACAGAGAACCACCACCATCACATAGAACCACCAATAGCACATAGAACCACCACCATCACAGAGAACCACCACCATCACACAGAACCACCACCATCACATAGAACCACCACCATCACATAGAACCACCAATAGCACATAGAACCACCACCATCACAGAGAACCACCACCATCACAGAGAACCACTACCATCACATAGAACCACCACCATCACACAGAACCACCACCATCACATAGAACCATCACATAGAACCACCAGCACATAGAACCATTACATTACATAGAACCACTCGCAGGTGCCACCACAGGTGTTCTTCCTTGTCATTTGTTATGCACTGTTCTCACTTCCAGGAGCCACCACAAGTGTTCTTCACCGTTACTTGTTATGCACTGTTCTCACTCCCGGGTGTCACCATTAGTGTTCTTCACCATCACTTGTTATGCACTGTTCTCACTCCCAGGTTCCATCAGATATTTTTCCTCTTCACTTATTGTGGTTTAGATCATAGAGGTTTATAACCCTATGGGTGAAAAAGCATCTCCTGTTTTCTGTTCTTCATAGTGGTTTGCGCTTGAAGCCGTTGCTCCTTGTACGAGATACATTTGACCTTTTTTTTAAAAAAAAAAGTGGTCTGGATTAACATCCTCTACATTCTTCAATATTTTAAAGGTCCTGATGAGATCATCTCTGGCATGTCTCATTTGCGTTATTAATTCTGTAACCCTTCACCGTTCCTGGTATAAGAGTTAATTTATTTCTGGGATAATTTTGTCACTGTGTTGAACATTCTCCGAAGCAGACGTGTCCTTCTGAAGGAGAGAGTTCTAAGCTTGGATACAATAGTTCAGATGGGGACACACCCGAGACTTATACAGTTAAATTTCTATTTTTTTTTTTTTGTCCTTGAATTCAAAGGGTCTTTGGAGTTTGGACTATTTCTAAGGTTTGGTTAGTTTTTTGTACATGCTCCCATTTGTTGTGCAACTTTCAATGACTGGTGGATCCTAACTCCTAGGTACTTTCTCTTCATCAATCTGTTGCATGGTAGGTAGTGCTATGATAGTTGAGATGTACATTGTTATGTCCTACATTCATGGTCTTGCATTTTTCAATATTGAAAAGCATTTGTCAGTCTTCTGACCTAAATTATATTATATTTTTAGAATGCACACTTGTGTTTTATTTAATCAACAGATTCTTATTTCAATGCACCAAAACATGTCCATATCATGTGCTAATTCCCATATATTTAACACATCGTCTAATGTTAAATTAAATGGTAAGAAAAGTCTTTACAGTATATATTTATGTTTAACATTTTACTGGCAAATAAATAATGTGCATTCAAGGAAAAATATACATTCCAGGACGACTATATACAATATAAAACAAACACTGCTTTTTAAACAAGAAAATTAGCACAAACTTTTAGTTTTAAGACGATATGTCAAAAAGGTACTATACAGTACAGAATTTCAAATTCATATCTACAGATTTTAAGAAATGTTTATTCTTTATTTCTTCCTAAATATTCTGAACAAGTTTAAGTTTTAAGGGGAAAGGAATCGGTAATGTTTCGTAATTCCAGTCATCTTGAAGCCTATCATCACCAGTTGTCGTCACATTGTTTAACTGCATGAACAGCATAATTGATTGATGTATTAGACAGCCAGGACCACTTGTTTACCAAGGGATTGTATGCCATTCCATGAACCAGACGAGTCACACAGCCATCTGAGGGAATAAAACAAATATCTTTCATTACCTAAAATGTTTTTGAAAGTATAAATGAGACAAGTAACAACTGGATACTAACTGGATAAATGCCAATTTATACATTACATAGTGTTTATACTAGTTACACACTTTTACAAGATCAATGATAGTGATCCTTATGTTGGCTCAGATCATTGGTTCTCCCTTCTCCCCTCTTTTCCCTCCCCTTCTCCCCTCCTTTCCTTCTCCCTCTCCCCTCCTTCCTTCTCCCCTCCCCTTGGCCGTCATTCGTCTCCTCCTCTTCCCCCCCCCCTGTCGCCCATTTGTCAGGGTCAAGAGGTTGACCTGAGGGTAGGGTGGTCGTGGATACCTTGGCTTCTCCCACTCAATTCCCCACTCAGATATTTCCCTCTCCACCCCCCTCTCATCCCTCTCTGTCCCTCTCAGCAGCGGCCTTCCCCATACCAGGCAGAGTCAAATGTCCCTACTCCTATCTTAGAGGAGACAGGCTTGAACATAAATTATCAGTTTTGTAAACATTGCTCGCAGGTGCCTGGGCTCCATAGACGCGCCTTGTACCCCTTCTCTAGCTGGGGAGAGCTGACTCAATCTTCAGGAATTCATGTAGCTTTCCACGACAGATCAGTGAAGGTGATTGGCCTGAGATAAGGTCCAAGTCCTTATTGGCCCTAGAGAGCCAGACCTCAGGCCTACGTGTTAAATGGTTGGCCAGTGCCAAAATAATGGGTGGAGCCCTGGGGCTGTATTAGATGGTGGGAGGAGTAATCCTTCCCAGCAATAAGTTGGAAAAACTAAATTTGATCAGTGTGTCTTGGGAGTGTATTAGGAACAGGGCCGCAAGCCCGTATCCTCGGGGCTGAGGGCAGCCATCAACATCTTGGCCGTGGTGCGGGTATTTAAGGTATAGTGCACTTGAGTTTTGTGTCCTCGGTAAATACCCATTGTGCCTCTAGGGAAATAGAATAGGTGATGTGTTCAAATTGTCTTAATTTACATGTTTCATAAAATAAATGGTATAGCTTGTCCAGTGGTATTCACTTAACTCCCCTTTGATATATTTTGCTACTTTGTCATTTTTAGGTGTTGTATTGGAAGCCCCCAGGTTCTCCTACTAGTAATAGATACTAAAGTTGCCCTTGGATTCAAATAAGTAACGTAAATTACACAAACTAATTTTCCAAAATTTATTACTGAAATTCATATTACCCGGAGTCCCATGGTTACTGATTCCTTGCCTTCCTGGGGGATCGGTGATTGACACATTCAGGTATGGTTGGTCAGGAAGGTGGTGGCAGTGCTTTAATGGTTTTTATTTTATAATTAGTAATAAGCGAATAACCCTTGTCCTTGGTGTATCTTCCTCATTTAATATTCCTCTTACATACGTGGCAGTCCAGTGAGGGGTCATGCTGGACTGTAACAGTGTTAAGCTGGGGTATTGAGTGAAGAAAGACGGAGAATATCAATAGAGAGCGTATAGTACGATTATGAGAGATCACAAGATAACAGGATTAATACTGGGGAACATTGGGTTATTACAATAAAGGCCGCGGTTATTACGGCAGGGTAAGCGGTCGTTACAATGTTACAAGAATGCAAAACCCTGCAAATAACACTGTACTAGTATATTTATATGAATATATTATACTATATTGATATGAATGTCAATAGTATGACATAACAGACAAAATAGAATGTAAATCTTAAAATATTTGATTTATTAATATTACCCTGTGAAGAAAATGGTGATAATTGTTCACACTAACAGTTCTTATGGGACTAAACTCATTATTAATGAAGTATCATTTAGTGACTTATTACATCTCATTCCTGAAATTATTTATCCAATTGGTACTTTCTTGTCCATCATTATCTTCTTGTACATTCTCACATGAATATGCTTCCTGAGACTACCGAATTTGTATGCATAATATATTTCTGTGCTTTTTAAGTAATCTAACAAATACTGCATATTGAGTTCTGCAAATGTGTGAAAGCTTATTTTATTGTCTTAATACTTGAAAGCATTTTAAATGTCTAAAAAATATTACACCTGAAACTACCACCACAAAGAACAACAATTACCAAAAAGGGAAAGCTAGAGTCAAAGATTAAAGCAATGGCAATCACTATATTCACACACAAGCAAGCAAGTAGAATCTAAGAACGTGAAAAAAGATAGCAAGATTTGTAAGAACGTAGAGCTATGAGCTAAGAACTATGAACATAAAAAAAAAAAAAGACAGCCAGTCACAATAATGTGGTTGAAAATCAGACGCCCAATCAACACTTCTGAAAATAAAAGAAGTAACAAAAAGTCGTCACTTACAATATTTTCAGATGTGTGGATTTGGAGTCATGAAAAAGATGAAATTAAGTTAGATACATCAGATTATAATAAAATATAAATTTAATCTTTTGTGATAAATTAGAATTAAAATGTTTGCCATAAATTACCGAGATGCACAGCAGACATCACCAAAACAGAGCACAGATACCACAGACAATTTATTAAATACAGGTATTCGCAAAGTAATACACCTAAGGAAACTGCAGTAAAAATTTTTTTACTTCATAATACATATCACGGTGCTACATAGTCTTTCCAGCTTGGTGCCTTCTTCTGATAATTACTTACTTCATAATACAGTGATACCTCAGCTTATGAATTTAATCCATTCCCAGAGACAGTTCGTAAGCCGAAAATTCGTAAACTGATGTGAAATTTTCCCCTAAGAAATAATATAAATTGAATTAATCTATTCCACACTCCCCAAAAAATTAACTTCAAAGTAAATTTTATACTTAATTCACCCAAATCTTTAGTACTAGAATATGTACAAGTCATTGCTTACGTTAATTGTTGACTCTTCATGACTTCTCTGGGGTACACACAGTCACGTTTTCCCTACATACCACTAGGACCCGCTTGTGGCTCACTGCTTGTTTTTCTCGCTATAAACCTGTGTAGTGACACTTGTTTTTCCCTACTTTGTAACACTTGAATACTTGCCTGAAGTGAGACATCACATTGTCATTAAAAAGGTTAACATAAAGGCCTACTACAGTTTGCTCTGGCTGAATTAATAATAACTTTTCAACATCTTCAAGTTATCTTGAGGTTATCTTGAGATGATTTCGGGGCTTTAGTGTCCCCGCGGCCCGGTCCTCGACCAGGCCTCCACCCCCAGGGAGCAGCCCGTGACAGCTGACTAACTCCCAGGTACCTATTTACTGCTAGGTAACAGGGGCATTCAGGGTGAAAGAAACTTTGCCCATTTGTTTCTGCCTCGTGCGAGAATCGAACCCGCGCCACAGAATTACAAGTCCTGCGCGCTATCCACCAGGCTACGAGGCCCCTTATCCACCAGGCTACGAGGCCCCTAAGAAATTTTCCCCTAAGAAATAATATAAATTGAATTAATCTGTTCCACACTCCCCAAAAAATTAACTTCAAAGTAAATTTTATACTTAAATCACCCAAATCAAAGTGTTTGTGTTCTTTGTTTTGTGATTGTTGATATGCCTTTTGCCACTTTAGCACTCAATGTCTTTTTTTTAGCAAATACAGTGCATATCGTTGACACAGATTTGTTGTACTCCCTAGGTAGTTCAACAACCGTGTACCATATTCGTGTTTACGAATGATCTCGTTTTTCCTCTATGGTCATTCTCACATGTTTTCTTGGCTTCAACCTTACCACTGACTTTCTTGGGAAGCACGGCAACATATATTATAATAACTTATGCTCAAATACCCCAAAATCCAAAAAAACACTGAAATTCTTTACAAAGAATTCGGGTGTGATTGTCACTAGGCGGGAGGCACTGGTAAACTGAGGCGCGATCGCTGTGACCACCCGCTAGGTCGGCCATATGTCCATCAACAAACATCGTTTCCCGAGGCAAAGTTCGTAACCCGATTCAGATTTTACAAAGAAATTGGGCTTGTAACCTGAAAAGTTTGTAAAGAGGGGGATTCGTAAGCCGAGGTTTCACTGTACAGTACATATAGAGTAATTAAATAAAATTTAAATATTGACAAGAAATAACACTAACTTTTTTCAAGCATAAAAAGAAGGTCTTGATGAGGAACAAACTTATTCCAGTCATGAGTTCCAGGAGGAACTATATGAAGCACACGCTCAGCAACAGCAATAGCACCAAGCCAAGCACATGTCGTCTTATTTATGGTTGTCAAGAAAAACGATCCACCTGGCTGTAGAAGATATAACACACAGCTTTTAGTAGTTATGTGACAATGATAATAGTGTCTGAAATTAATCTAGTAAACTTGTAAAGAGAGAAAATATAATTATTCATATGCCACAAATTCCAAATGTATTAAAGTGAATATGCTACTTCTCCCCGCCAAACACACGACAAAAAACTACGACGTTGCTACAATGTTTGAACAACTTTCTAACATGTCTTAAAAAGTTTATAACAAGATGTAACAACTTTATTACAAGTTATAACAAGGGAAATGTAGGGACTGTATCATCATTTACTTTTATTTTGAGTTCACATTAATTTCCTTGAACTAATTTAGCTCTAAACACATTTAGAGTTATTCATGTTATTTTAGGTTTTGTATTTTGATATTTCGTATACTTTGTCATCTTTTCTTCCCTGAATGCTGGAATATGCATATGATATGTCACTAAATATAGATAACTCACAGTTACCCAATACAGTATAAAGCAATTTGAGATGAATTTAATGATAAAATTTACTAACCTTGAGTGTGTCTACACAGGACTGAATAAAGAAATTGGTAGCAGCAACATGTTCCAACACTTCAGAGGCAATCACTGCATCGTACTTATCATCACTGTTCTGCTTGAATTCTTCTATCGTTCCATTTATATATCTAAAAATAATATTTAAGAGGGCTAGTAAAAAAAAATAAATATACTGCCGGTACTCTAAGTAAAATATTACATTGCTCCCATGATCAACTACATACAACAATCAGTTTTCCACCTACGTTTGACTTCTGAATTAAATGTTTAATGAAGGTTAAAAATAAGGCTTTGGGAGTACTATAGAACAGCTTCTTTCAACACAAGCCACCAGATTGATCCCTTAGGCAATCTCTTGCTCTTCCTAAGGACAGGACCAGATACAGCCAGGTTAGTTTGATACTTACAGGACAGTAGAGATTTGTTCAAATGCCCTTGCTGGATTATAGTTATGGAAGGGAGATGGCAGAGAAAACCTCAATCCAGCATGGAATGATCTGTGAAAGGTTCCTCCTCCTTGTACTCTCAAAACCCCCTTCCAAGCAATACACAAGGCTCAAATAGACTGCAAAGTATTGCTTTTCTACTATTTGGACCACCTCCCTGCTACCCAAAACTATTACCAGATGTCAGTACCAACACTGCCAACATAGTAGCAAGAAGTTATCTGACTCATATTAGTCAGAAAATAACCCAAGACAACACTGGAAAAATCAGGACAAAACAAGAGAGCATGGGGGACAACCAGTTTTCCTCAAAATGATTTTATTTCATTTTCAAATCAATACAATGAGTGTTAAGAAACACTGGAAACCTGCTTGCAGAAACTAAGAAAATACACACATGACTAAACCCATATCATATGATGCTAGGCTTGAAACAAAAATAACAGTACAGGCATACCTCAGAATACGAGTTTAATCCGTTCCTGGAGACGCCTCGCCTTCCGAAAACTCGCATTCCGAAGTTAATTTCCCCATAAGAAATAAAGGGAAATGAATTAATCCGTTCCTGACTACCCCAAAAACCCCACATCAAACTAAATTTTTATACCTAATTTACCTAATTCATCTAAATAAACCTACAAAACTGTGTTCCAGTTATTACTTACCTTGCTGTCGAGTGCTGTAGGCGTATGGAAGATGGTGAGGAGGGGGGGAGGAGGAGAGGAGTTACTGTTTGGAAGGGGAGTCCCCTTCCATAATCACATCACATAACCCCATGCCTTGTAACACTATGGATACCACTTCTCTTTCTAAATTTTTCAAACCAGCCCCTGCTTGCCTTAAACTCTTTCTTATCTGCATCACTCGTTGCAGGGGTATTCTTTAGAAGGTCTTCGTACAACACCCTGGCTTTCTCACAAATAATGGCCTCCGAAACACTATCACCCCTCAACTCCTTGTCGTGTATCCAAATTAATAACAACTTTTCCACTTCTTCAAGTACTGTATTTGTGGTCTTTATGCCGTTAATGTTCTTACTCCTTTTGCCACTTTAGCACCCATAATCTTATTTTTCTTCTTAAGTATAGTGCATATTGTTGATGTGGCTTTGTTGTACTGCCTACAAAGTTCAACAACACGTGTACCGTTCTCATGCTTCCGAATGATCTCTTGTTTCTCCTCTATTTTCATCCTCACATGAGCTTCTGGCCTTTATCCTTACCACTGGCTTTCTTGGGACCCATGGTGAGATATATAATAACAAATTGTATAGACAAATCACCAAAAATCAAACAAAACACTGAAAATCCGCGAGAAGAATTGATGTGGGGGTAGTCACTGAGCGCGAGACAATGGTAAACTGAGGGGCGGCGGGCGGAGGGGCAGCGGGCGGAGGGGCGGCGGGCGGAGGGGCGGCGGGCGGAGGGGCGACGATCGCCGAACCACCACGCGCTAGGTCGGCCTGTACGCGTATCAACAAACTCGCGTCCCGAAGTAACCCTCGCCTTCTGAGACAAATTTTTGGAGTAAATACTGCTCGCCTTCCGAAAACCTCGCATACAGGGACAATCGCATTCCGAGGTACCACTGTACTCTACTAAGTACTGTATTGTAATTGAAAACAGTTTTTGCATGGTACCATATACTAGAAAATACTGCATAATGAAAATTTGGTATACAACATATTAATGCACAGATACAGTATTTCATTTAATTGCAATAGAAAGTATATGCAGAAACTCACTCAACATTTTGCTGAACTCTTGAATCTTGGTCAGCATGTAATCTAGCAACAGAGATGTTCTCCTCAGCAGCATCCACACCAGTAACTCTTGCTCCCAGTCTCGCTAGAGGCTGCAAGTGTGTAAGATGAGTGATGACAAATGTAACTCATAACATAAATCCCTCAAAATGCGACATCATAATGGATAATTGGATAGTAAACTGGGAAGTGAAGTAAACAGATAGTTTACTTCAATAAGATTGCCATCAAATGAATAGGTATGTTTTGTCTGTCTGAATACTCATATGGTTCAATAGCTCCAATTGTGTCTTCCAGCAGTCATGGATGGACACAAAATAATATGGGTCTTGGTAGCACAGTTGGTTCCTTTCTCAATTCACAATTGGGAATCCCTGGATCAAATTCTGGGCAGGACAGAAATGGTTGGTCACAGTTTCTTTCACCCAATGCCTCTGTTCATCTAGCAGCAAATAGCTACCCAGGAGTTAGCCAATTGTTGTGGGGTGCATCCTGGGCAAGGTCAGTACAGTGGTACCTCAGCTTACAAATTTAATTTGTTCCCAGAGACCTCGTAAGCCAAATATTTGTAAACTGAAGCGAATTTTCCCATAAGAAATAATGTAAATTGAATTAATCCATTCCAGACTCCCCCAAAAATTAACTTCAAAGAAAATTTTATACCTAATTCACCCAAATCTTCAGTACTAAAGTACAAGTTATTATTTACCTTTACTGATGACTCTTGTTGGCATAAGGAAGACAGTCAGGAGGGGTGGAAAGATGAGGAGTGATGTTAGTGTTTGGATGGGGAGTCCCCTTCCAAATCTTTAAATTCGTCAATAAATTTTTCAGCCGCTGGTTTGTCTGAGCTGACAGCCTCCCCATACCTCACAACACTATGAATACCACCTCTTTTTCTAAATTTCTCACACCATTCCCTGCTTGCCTTTAACTTGCCTATTGCCTGCTAACTCCTTGTTGTGTATCCAAATTAATAACTTTTCAACATCCTCAAGTGTTTGTATTCTTTGTTTTGTGATTGTTGATATGCCTTTTGCCACTTTAGCACTCACAATGTCCTTTTTCTTAGCAAGTACAGTGCATATCATTGACATAGATATGTTGTACTGCCTAGCTAGTTCAACAACCTGTGTACCATTTTCATGTTTACGAATGATCTCTTGTTTTTCCTCTATGGTCATTCTCACATTTGTTTTCTTGGCTTGAACCTTACCACTGGGTTTCTTGGAACCTACTGCTAGATATATAAAAACAACTTTTATGTTCAAATACTCAAAAATCCCAAAAAACTGTAATTCTTTACAAAGAATTCAGGTGCGATTGTCACTAGGCGGGAGGCACTGTTAAACTGAGGCATGATCGCCTTGCCACCACATGCTAAGTTGGCCATACGCATATCAACAAACTTTGTTTCCTGAGGCAAAGCTCATAACCTCGAAAGCTTAAAATTTACAAAAAAATTGGGCTTGTAACCCAAAAAGTTCATAAACAGGGGCATTTGTAAGCTGCGGTGTCACTGTAGTTCGACCTTGGAGTGGGGGGAGGGGGAGAAAACCTTGATATAAGCCTAATAAATAAATAAATAAATAAATAAATATATATATATAAATACACACACACACAAAAAATGGCTGCCTGTCCTCCTTCCAACAAAATGAATTATTAGTTTCGAGTCAGACTCTAAACTAATAATTCTCCTGAGCCTCTACTGAGCCTCTATCAGTAAATGACAATGACTGCAATTAGACCAAAATAAAGATCTTTACGGAATATAATGTACATACTGTACTGTATATTTTCGTACTCTCTTTACTTTTTTCATACTGGTTTCATACTTTTTCATACTGGTTTCATACTTTTTCATACTGGTTTCTAAGTGCTAGGTTTCATAAACCTTACTTTTTAATATAATGTATTATATTAAATTATATTAGTATTATATTGTATTATATTGTTTTGAAGGAAACAAAATTTGTTTTGTCCTGGCTCCCATCACAACATAATGCTGATGAATGCCAGATGGTATAGTGACTAAACTAAATGCCCAGACTAAAATAGGGGCAGATACTGTATTTATTTTTTGTCATTTTCAATACTGCACTTTTAAAAGTACAGATCCATCATAAAAAAATTAATTTTTTTTTATGTAGTTAGGTTGAAAATGTTTATGCAAGCCGTACTTTGAGGGATGAATGAGGACGCAGTTATTAGCAGCCATTAAATCAGTACGTAATATCTCTTGTATCATACACCCTGCTTCATTTATTAACCACATAATGTATGTTAATACCTCAAATGATCCCTCAAACATTCTTCATCCTACTATGCACAATGTGCCAGTAACATCACAGAATGTTATCTGCTTTCAATAACCCTTGCACAAACAGTTTTACCTGTACAGTACTTTACATAACAGTACTTCTTAAACAGTAATAATTATTCTTTAAACATAATAATAATTATATTTAGTAATATATAATAAAATAATACTAATAATTATTATTATAGTATTTTGCAAAACTTTTCTTACCTCACACAGAATCCCACCGCCACATCCTACATCAAGAATCTTTAATCCTGTTAGTGGTCTGGGGCCATCAACATGTTCTGGTTTAGCAATGCGTGATTGTACTAAGCCTTCTCGAATCATCGACACCCTTTAAAGCAAAATGGAATAGTCCAAGATACAGTGTACAGTATAATTTTATATGATGAAAAGCATTAAAAGTTGATTAATTAAAGTGATAAAAATAATAATAATACAAATTTGAGCACATGAAAAGCTCCTTTCTAAGCAAGTTATTCTACCATTCCCCTATAGATCTATCACTTCATATAAATATACACTACAATACTGTATACTTATTATTAGATTGTTTTTTAGATTATGTAACACTGTTCGATAACATCAATATGCTGTAATTAGGCCAACACAGGAGTGATACAGCATATAAAAAAAGGGATCCATATTATCAAAGGGATCTGGTTGAAATATACTCTTCATTTCAGTGTTCAGGGTGCTTGGAAGTCACCAAAGACAAGCATAGTGGTCACCCCCAAATGGCAGCACCACAATGATTCAGGCCCTGGCAAAACCCATCAAGCCTACATGTATCCTAACCTATAGCAAGACATTTTTACATATCCCGCTAATTGTGGTTCTAAAAAGGTGTTTTCAATTCATGACCTATTTTGTGCTTTCAGGTTGCTGCTTTGTGATACTTTTTTAAATCCTTGCCCTTTTGTCATGGTATTGTTTCACCCGCCCAGACCCTCTACATCGCTCCTGTCATATGTACTGCAGATCTAGCCATTGGTTATTAATTACACTAACCAGATCTAGGAAGTGTCTTCCTAGGCCTGTATTCCATGTCTCCAATCCATAGATGTAAGTCTCGAGTGCAATGATCAGTGAGTTAATTCACACTCACAAGATTCTGGGTTTGATTTCCACAGCAGAACAGAGACGATTGGGCAAGTTGCATTTCACCTGATGCCTCTCTTTCCCCAGCAGTAAATAAGAATCCAGGAGTTAGGCAACTGTTGTGAGTAGCATCCTGGGACAGGATGATGAGAGGAACCTCGATATGCCTAAAAGGCTTTCTGTTCTAGACAATGAGAATGGGAAAACATTTTCTTATGACTTTGTTCACATTTTGAGTGCTTACTTTTAAGTCCTAACCTATAACTGTCTATTGGAAATAAGACCATGCATCTTGGGCTCCACCTACACACAGTTCAACAATGTAGTTAGCAAAAAACTTTGTTGGCAGTAATTAGCTAGTGATGCCAAGAGAGGGCTCAAAATGTCTTCAAAATGTTATGGATTGACCAGTGGAAGTCATTCCAGGTTGGACTGAGCATTTCCACCGTCTCCTCAGAACTTAAATGATCCAACAGGGATGACTGAAAATTCCCTATACAGTAGTGTAGTGCTGTACATCACTTTCTCTTTGTATATTCCCATTTACAGACACATGAAACATACTTTGGGAGAAACTGAATGATCTACTTAGAGAGGTGCTTATCATGTACTGTACAAAAGACTAATTTTTATTGTACAAATTTTAAAATATAATTTTTTCTCTAATCAATAAATTGCACTTAATTTAATGACTAGTCTATTTATTAGCATCTATATACAGCTTTCAAAAACATTCATTAATTACCTTAATCTATTCATAGAATGTAAAGGCTTGAAATCACCATGTAAATCCCACCACGAGTCTGCCAGTGCTCGAAACTTTGCTACCTCTTCTGCAACATATGTAGAATTTGATTTTGTGTCATTGGTGCTGTATCCATTTGAACTTGAGCTACCATTGGATTCATCTGAACTTGATGTGCTTGATTCATTATCTAGTGTACTGGTGGTAGTGGAATTTGCAAGATCCCTTATACGTACATTTCTAGGAAGAGAAAATACAGTATAGTACTAGGTAGCTGGTCTTTGCCAAAAAGAGTTCCTGATGACCAATAACAAATACTGCAACATGTGAAAATAGTGTTCCTTTTATTATTTACTTTTCTCCTGTCACACTTATTTTAGTTATAATTATGAAGTTTATCATTATACAATGAAATCAAATACTGTACAGTACTGTACTGTAATGAATGTATTAAACTGACAAATGCCAATAACATAGTTATACTTTGTACATTAACCCAATAACTTTGTTTTTTATATTCTGTACAGTGGAACCTTGATTCAGCAAACCTCGATTGGTGAATAACCAGTCAGAACACACTTTCCATGCCAGATTTACTCACCCAATTTGACGAACAAAAGTTCGCTGAAGCAGAGGATTGTGTGGATTTGCTAAGACTGTAGGAACCAAGTTCACAGATGGAGGCAACATTACAAGAAACATTTGGGGACCTTGGGAAAGACACTGAGCATATTTAAAACCAAGTTCTATGGTTCTTTTTTATTTCCAGTTGCAGAGGTTTTTGTTCAGTAATGTGTGGGCTGTTTTTCCCTTGAAAATTAAATTTCAAGGCTTGGGTGTGTGAAATATGCTAGGTGTGGTTAAATCTCTTTACAGACAGGTTCTTTTGGTTGTTGCCCTTCAATTGAATATATTACATTGAATATATCACAGGTAAAAATTATAATTTTGCTCAGTGAAATCAGCCCATAATGTGTGGGAAATACTGTATTAGGTATGAATAGTAACACTTAACACATGAATGGTAACTAGATGGATTCAACATTACAAGAAACATTACAAGATTTGTTTTAATTTTGAATTGATAAGGTTTTCATTCACTCAGGTATGGCACGGCTTCCTTTTGAAAATGAGTTTGAGGCTGGGGGCATGAGAAATAAGATAGATGTGGTTAAATTTTTTTGCACACCTGTTTATTTAGTAGTTGTCTATTATATTATGGGTTAAAATTAAAATTTTGTTAAGTGAAATTAGCTCATAGGGAGTGGGAAATGCATCCCAGAGAGATCTCCAGTTGTAACAAATCCTTCACAGTAACGAATTGGGGTTGATCCCATATAGTTAATTGAATCAGGGTTGTACTGTATATTTTATTGAATATATCACTTGTTGAATATATAGAACTGGACACATTATTTTGTTGCAGGTGATTCACATTACACACATTTCTGTAAAGTTGAAGCCTTTACATTTAAATGTGAAATGTTCAAGAATTTTCTTTATGCCTTATCCTCTATTACTTATAGGAAAATATGAACAAACAACAGGTAGAATGAATAGATATTTAACATAAAACATACCTAAATGGCTTCAGAGCATGAATGCCAGCACGAGAGGCCAGCAAGTGCTGCAGAGTCCTCATCTTGGGAGCACGAGAGACCAGCAGGTGTGGCAGAGCCCTTACAGTGACAGCTTTATTTACTTGCAGTCACAACACCCACTCACACGATAGTTATAAAACAGAAAAAATTTAATCTGGAATATAAAGACACTTGTGTTAAGAGTGTAGTCTTGGCATTAAATTATTAATATCCTGAAAATCAAGAATTGAATACCTTACCTTTACAATATTTGCATTTAATGTATGTACAGTATTATATATTTTCAGGGAAGGAATATCCCTTAGTACCTCACCTGAGCCTACACGTTGGTACACTGCATACCAGGAGCCAGAACCAGAATCTGGTTCTCTCTACGAAATGGGGGAAGTTTGGGAATCAGAGATGTGCCCAAGCAAGGGGAGCTCAGGGATCAGAGATGTGCCCAAGCGAGGGGAGCTCAGGTATCGGAGATGTACCCAAATGAGGGGTCCTCAAGGATCAGAGATGAATCCAAATGAGGGGTGCTTGCAGATCAGAGATGTACCTAAACGAGGGGAGCTTGGGGATCAGAGATGTACCCAAACGAGGGGAGCTTGGAGATCAGAGATGCACCTAAACCGAGAAAAAATACCAGAAACTTTAGGAACAAAACAAGTGACTTCCTCAAGGAAAAATAAACCCTGTGACAAACAGGGTAAATGATTGTTGAAGCAGGTGAACACTCCTAACTTTAATTTGCCCGACCACCACCAGATGAAATCCCAGGTCACCCATCATCCTGAGCACCCACTAACCTTCCTCACTCACCTGATGTCAGAAATGCATTGCTCTCCAGGATACCTAAAGCAGCTCCTTTATGTTGTGTTTGTTATCTCCAACCCAGCTTATCTTAAAATCATATACAACTTTAATAATAAAATGAATCATGCATGAAATGCCTGTATAAATTTGATTAAACTCTATTTGCATATAGGTTTAGTTCCTGGTTTTCAGAAATCGGGAATCCTGTTGGTCTTGTTCGTTCGGCGTTTGCACCTCAGTTTACCAGTGCCTCCCGCCTAGTGACAATCGTGCCTGAATTCTTTGTAAAGTATTACAATTTTTCGGATTTTTGGCTATTTGAACATAAAATTTGTTATTACAGTATATATCTTGCCATGCATTCCAAGAAAGCCAGTGGTAAGGTTCAAGCCAAGAAAACACATGCGAGAATGACCATAGAGGAAAAACAAGAAATTATTGATGGTGGAGTTGGAGGAGGAACACAGCAAAGAATTGACCACCGAAGAACTCCTAGCTCCTTCAAAAGGAGCAGCAACAAGAGGCAGCTGAGGAAATGTCTTCAGGGGAGGAGGAGGCAGTAGAGAATGTCCCATCCTCAACAATTAGGAAGTGGTGTAGGCTGTGGGAAGAAATGCAAACTTTTGTTGAATCGACTCACCCAGAGCAAGCTGTAGTAGGCTGTTGCATTAACCTTTTTATTGAAAATGTGATGCCTCACTACAGACAAGTGTTACAACGAAGGGAAAAACAATCTTCAAAGGATCGTTCTGTTGTGAGAAAAATCAAAACCAGGACCTAGTGGTATGCAGGCAAAATGTGCCAGAGAAAGCACTCCAGAAAAATCTTTACCGCCTGATGTTATAATGGAAGGGGAGTTCCCCTTCCAAACAGTAACACCTCTTCTCCTCCCCCCTCCTCACTGTCTTCCATACGCCAACAAGTCATCAGTAAAGGTAAGTAATAACTTGTACATACTTTAGTACTGAAGATTTGGGTAAATTAGGTATAAAATTTACTTTGAAGTTTTTTTTTAGGAAGTCTGGAATGGATTAATTCAATCTTCATTATTTCTTAGGGGAAATTCGCTTCAGTTTGCGAATTTTTGGCTTACGCACTGTCTATGGGGAATGGATTAAATTCGTAAGCTGAGGTACCACTGGAAACTTTGCCTAAATGATTCTGCCTTAATATAGGGATTGAACCAGGAACCTTAGGTTGAGAGCTGATATGTCATTTTATACACAGGACAGATCAAGGATGGATCTTTTTACATACAGTATTATATAATATATACAATATATATAACAGCCTACCTTACCCAAACTGACATAATAAAACCCAATCTAGGTTAACATAACACATCATCTTTAACATTTCATAAATGAGACTTGTCAAAACACCTGTGTATGATCTGACTGTACTGAACTCCAGTTGTGAGTGAGCCAGGTCACCTTATATCCATGACATAACACATTTTTTAAAATTTACCAAACTTAATAAATCCCAACAAGTTAATCCAGCCTAACTTAAGGGGTCAATCGATAGTTTTTGAAAAGTTGTTCAATGTCAATCAATATTTTTTGACTAGTTGTATATGAAAAGGGCTGCAATTGTTCCAAGTTTCAGTACTGCAACCTTAATAGAAAATGAAATTTAATTTTTTTTTTTCAATAAATATTACACATTTTCAAGTGATTTCAAACCTTTCACCTTTTCAGATATAATCATTCTATGAAACTTTTCTGACACATTAGCATATAATGCTATTAGGACAATATCCAATTCTGGCCCCAGACATCACTCGGTACCCCTACTCAAATCTCTGAATATGTTAGACATTAAGTCACTGCACATTCTCTCATGTGTATTAAACATATATAAAACGCTAAACTATAATGCCAATCCTGATCTCAAAAGCTTCATAGAAGGTTGTAACAGAACCCATGAGCACCACACCAGAAATAAATACAGTTTTGATATTCCTAGAGTACGACTTAATCAAACCAGAAATGCTCTACAAATCAAGGGGCCCAGAATGTGGAATGACCTTCCCAACCATGTTAAAGACAGTACCTCTCTCAACCAGTTTAAGTTAAAAACGAAGCTATACCTAATAAATTCTCTGTAACCCACCTTACCCCTCTGTTGTCAACCCATGTATGTTTTTTGTTTTTTTTTGTTGTTTTTCAAATCAACGCTGTTTGAATGTAATTTTCTGTAATAATTTGTAATTGTATTTGTGCTGCTTTTTCAACAATGTTCCCCCCTCTTTTACCTCTATTTTTATTTGTACTCAACACATCTTATTCTTTTTACCCTTTAGTTTTAAGCTTTAGTCATTAATGTTTTTCCTGCCCGAAACGCTTTGCGTAATAGTGGCTTTAGGCATTGTATGTACTAATTCTAACTATAAAGCCAACAAACTTTGTAAAATCTCTTTATGTACGTACCTTTCCTAAATAAAAATTATTATTATTATTATTATATAATAAAGGATCTGGAGCCAGTGATTTTCCAAAACATCTTTAGTTTTCCTAATACAAATAGTCAAAGTTCCCCCAAAAAATTATGCAAATATATCATGTTTATTGCTATTATGAAATCAATAAATGAACTTAGGGAAACAAAACGGCCCAAGATTTTAGAGACATAAACTTTGCATATAGGGTGTAAGTTTCATGTAAATAGAATAAAAATGAAAGAGTTTGAAGTCGTTTATATTACTTGAAAAATAAATCATTAAAATATAAAGTCTAAGGTGCTGCCATCTGTGGCTTATGTTGACATCAACCCATTTCCTTCAAAATTGGCACCCTTACAGGTAGGCTTACGTGCAGTCAGGTGTATAAGTTTCATGCAAATTGTCTGATAAACAAATAAGAAAAATAAAATTAAAACGATTGTCTTAACACCCTGTTAGTGCACTGACACCAACTGCTGCTGTCTACATATATGAAGAGTGAACGCAACACAAGCTCAAGCCCCGGAAGCACAAGTAGGTGATTACAAGCAGCAGCTGCCAGGGAGGAGAGGAGCCACAGCAGCAGTTGCCAGGAAGAAGAGGAGCCACAGCAGCAGTTGCCAGGGAGGAGAGGAGCCACAGCAGCAGCTGCCAGGGAGGAGAGGAGCCACAGCAGCAGCTGCCAGGGAGGAGAGGAACCACAGCAGCAGCTGCCAGGGAGGAGAGGAACCACGTACAGCAGCTGCCAGGGAGGAGAGGAGCCACAGCAGCAGCTGCCAGGGAGGAGAGGAGCCACAGCAGCAACTGCCAGGGAGGAGAGGAACCACGTACAGCAGCTGCCAGGGAGGAGAGATGTTGTTGTTGAGTTAGGGGCGACGACGATCGTGGGATCGGATGCGCCCACCCAGGGAGGAGAGGAGCCACAGCAGCAGCTGACGAACACCAAGGTAATGTTTACACTTCGTTTTCTTTTAAGAATTCTATGGTAGACTATTTGGTTTTCTTTAAAATATTTTATGGGTAACAACTGCATTTTCAGTTTATGTTAATTACATACGTATAATTTCAGGACGAGAGCTATGCTGGTGGTGTCCCGTCTTCTCAGTAATCCGTCATATGTCAGAAACAACCGACTGTCAAAGCTTAACACTCAAGTTCTCTTCCAAAGTGTAACTTGTAGTGTAGCAAATATATAGAAGTCTCCGTGGTGTAGTGGTAAGACACTCGCCTGGCGTTCCGCGAGCGCTATGTCATGGGTTCGTATCCTGGCCGGGGAGGATTTACTGGGCGCAATTCCTTAACTGTAGCCTCTGTTTAACGCAACAGTAAAATGTGTACTTGGATGAAAAAACGATTCTTCGCGGCAGGGGATCGTATTCCAGGGACCATAGGATTAAGGACCTGCCCGAAACGCTACGCGTACTAGTGGCTGTACAAGAATGTAACAACTCTTGTATATATCTCACAAAAAAAAAAAAAAAAAAAAAAAAAAAAAAAAAAAGACATTCACCTTCCAAAAGTCTTCTTTCCAGCCAGCTATGGAACATTTATAACTTCTAGCACGTTTTTAGTTCTAGCCTTCCCAAGCTCATAATTTTTTTCTGAAGACTTTCGTGAAACTACAGGGATGTGGAAGAGGGGTAGTGTTGTGTGTGGTATAGGCCGTCTTTTAGTAAAACTTTCGTTCTGCTTTCACATGGCCCTCTAATTATATAAAAATATATGTAGCCATGTTAGTTTTCCATGGATGCTTCCTTCTCAGTATGTGCACTCCTTTTATGTCTTTGACACTTCACCCCTCCTTTTCCCTGTTTATTACCTGCTGGATGGTGTTCTGGGAGCTTGAGATATATACAAGTTGTTACATTCTGGTACAGCCACTAGTATGCGTATCGTTTCGGGCAGGTCCCCGCCATGAAGAATCGTTTTTACTCTCCAAGCCCAGGGCCTGGCTTGACTTGAGAGCTTGGTCAGACAGGCAGTTGCTTAGAGCGGCCCACATATCCACCACAGCCGGTTGGTCAGGCACCAAGAGATTACTAGATAGTTTTCTCTTGATGTCCATGTTTTTTCGGCAATATTTCTTATACTTACCGAGAGTTGAACAACTGTAGACATCTGATGTTTAGTGTTCCCTGTGCCTATGGCACCCCCGCTCTTTACTGGTTCCATTTGGCATTTTCTTTCTATCCCCAGGTATATAATTAAAGTAGTTTTCAAAGTGATATACAGTATTATAAAAAGTGTGATGGGAAGACGGGACACACTGAGCATAGCTCTTATCCCGTAACTACACTTGGGTAATTACAGTAATTGGAGTAATAATGATTTCAATAAAAGAAACATTTATTAAGAAAACTGGCTACAGTAGTAATTAATTACAATGTATTTCACACACTGTATGTATAAAATATTTAAATGTCTGAGAAAGGTAACAAATTATCTTAACAGTCCTAAAATGGTTTTGCACAAACGGGTAAAACAATTCGAATTTCTAGCCATTCATTATAAAATGTAAAAAAGGGTTCACAGTACTATACATACACTGATAATTACAATAAGTGTAATATTCAACAATTGCAATAAATGTTTGGATAACAATGCTAATTCAAGGTTAACAAAGTAAAATGAATTACACTAAGAAAAATGCACTTCATAGGAAGTTTCATAATTTCAGGGAAAAAGTGCTTGATTACATATATTTGCTGCTGATGGAACTTTATACAATGGGACAAATGTAAACAGAAAAAAATTTTCAAATTAATTTTTGAATTTTTCATTACAGTACAGAAACTATGGATATAATTTGTTCATGCCAAAATTAATAGAGGGCAAATTTACATTTACCCAGAAATAGTACAAACACACCAGTACACATTTTTCTTGAGCTCAACACCTCCCCACAACAGGCAAGTTTACATAAATAAAAATACCAAATAACTCAATGCAACTAGAATGCCGTACTTTGGCACACACTAATTTAATTTTAAAGTTATCTTGAACATAGGTCTTTTAGAACTAGCATTACCAATTTATTCTCACAATGACAAGACAATCCTTTGATTTTAGATTCAATAATACTGTATTGCTAGTAGTTCATAAATTTAATACAGTATATAGAATTTTTCTTATCTTTTTAGTTCAGCTCGCTCTACACAAGGATCCCGTTAGTTTTGGCAACACAAACTTACAACTAACATTGATTACTTCATTCATTCACTGTTCAGGTGGCAAAGGATGTTTAGAATTAAAATTCATTCCAAAAGTTTTACACCACTGTAAAATCTCATCCTAACCAACCCACTCAAACTTTCCATTTGAAGATCATGTTTTATACTCCATTTGTTACTAATAATGTGGCTTTAATGCCACACTGATACCCAGATTTTCTACACAATTTTATATTTTCAGAGGTAATTACTATATAAACATACTGTACTGCAATGAAGTGCAACACTTCTTTCAGAGCATGGATAATTCACATTAAGTAAATTACACAAGTACCATCATTAAAACTATTTTTACATTATTGGCTCAGGAGCACAATGAAATCAAGTATTTAGCAAATGGCAGCTCTACTCTGAAATTTCATGACTGGTCCCATTTCATTATATAAAACTATATTCAGGCACTATCACAACTGTACACCAAATAGAAAACTGGAATGGATTTATTTGCAAGAAATGCTCAATTGATAAAATCCTGAGCTGCTTGCATTTCACCTGACAAGATTTTATGAACACATAGAACTGACTTTACATACTAAGGCTATAGTTTTGCTTCACTTTTGTACTGTATAAATAGGGCAATGAGAGCTATTTTTTGTTTACCTTATGAATCTTAATACTGCCCAGGACAAAGTCACCCACTGTTGAACAAGGGCTGGTACAAGTCAAGTTAACCCAGTCACAGGCTCTGGAGTAGCTATCACAGACTGAAATAAGATGGGGAATAATGTTTCCCACATGGCTGGATATTTATGAGCCGGTAACAAGGTTATTACAAGCCGGTGGGCATGTAGTTAAATAAAGCAAATTAGCTTAAATTAATTAAAAACCAACCCTCTCCCATCAGTGCAGATTCAAACGCCATTACATTTCATTAATTAGCAACTTACTAAAACTGTATACTGTATAATAATTCACACGAGGAATTACAAAATTAAAATATACCGTAAGATACAGGTAAACCAATGTGGACATTCATTAAAACAAAGCCTAATGTGTAAAGAAAATTAGCTAGTAAGAAAACTTTTTATATCTTCATGCATATAAAGTACAACAACTAGGAACCCATTAGCAGCAATACTCATACCAAGAAAAAATGCAATCCATGGATTACGATAATTAAGAGACTTGCAGTGATTTGCCTGTCTGTTCGTGAGCTCCATTATAGTTGCATCAGGTGCCTGTACTTTGGTAGTGTTTCTACTGCTGCTAGTATTACTCGAGTTCTCACTTAGGTTTCCATGAGCTGAATGATAAAAATGAGAGGAACTTGCAGGAGGAGATGGAGGGTTTCTCTGTAGAGAACCATCCGAAACATGTGATGTACTGCTGTATAGAGACCGAGCATCACCTGCGACACGTCTTCTGCAATGACCGTAACTGATTTGTGATGCCGAATCAGAAGGATAAAGAGATGGCGAATAACCCCAGGTTTTATAGGCAGGTTCAGACAGAACTGATCCACGGTCTAATTCTCCATAGTGTGATCCATGGCATGAATTAGGTAAACTGTATGGCTGATGTAATTGATGTACAGCTGTGGGATTGTATGGTGGTAGCCCACTACTCTGAGAGACAAATCCTGAACTCTGGCTGGAAGAACGAGAAAGAGGATACAGGGTCGACTGTCCAGGGCATACGGGTCCTAAAGGTGGCATCACATTCTGTGAAAATTCTCGAGAAGGGCTCACAGGGTGACCCCAGTACCCCCCGGCAACCCATGAAGACTGTGTGATGTTTTTAGCAGAGAATCTCGAAGGACTAGTTTCACTCCGCTGGCTGCAATATGAATCATTAAGCTTGGGATTATATCCAGGTTTTTCAGTAAATAGTAGTTTAGGGGAAAAAGGGGTGTTGGTGCGAATTCTTAGATCATTTTTTAATGGGGTACTTATTTTCAAGCTGCTCAAGGTTGTGTCCAAACTATCAGCCAGTGAGGGATATTCAGGGATTAAATTCACAGGACTGGTTTTACCATTATTTAGTGAAGGAGAAAATGGTTGGTTTAGGTTGCCGAGATCATCACCAAGACTGGTATTCATGGTGCAACGACTGTCTTCCAAGCTACCACTGGACTTTTCACTCATCATACTCCTAGAATGAAGAATGAATGTATCAGTATCAAAATGTATACAGGAGCAAAACAAGACAGTAATAGAATATGAATAAATTAACAATTTGTTACTAACCAAAATATATATAGCAGTAAATGTAACCGACATACTTATATTGAAATAAATTTGCCAAACTGTACTTTAACAGTAGACATAATTCCATCTATATTATGTAAAACATTCCTTTATGCAGCCCCCCCTTCACATTCAGATTACTACACAGAAATCCCATTATCATGATATAGCAATGAGAAAATTCAAGAGCGTGCATCTGGGAATACCCAGTGCATAGGTTCGAATACTCATCACGGCTCCTATGGATATTCACATTATTATTATTAGAATACAGGACACCCATATATGAGATAGCACATTCACTAGCATTCTGCTTTACATGACTGTTCTAGTGTCCATATTATTCAGTTCATTTAAAATAAAACTCGAGACGTTCCTCCTTTCATACCACTCTGCTACCTTAATTTCATGTTCCAAAAGTTGTACTATATTTCATTCACGTATACAGGGATTCCATTAAAAGGTGGCTAATAGCAATTATTGACACTAACTATAACAGCTGTCTAAATGAACTCATAACTGCCAGTAATTATTTATTGCCATCACTAACTACATTTAAAAAATAACAGTACTTATTTTTTAAGTGTACTGTATAATAATTGTACACTGACCAGGAGAGAAAATATCAAGTGCTGGCAGTGACTGAACATTATCTATGTTATGTGAACAAGTTGTGTGATCATGACAAATTCTTGGCTAGAGAGAGGATGTTGTGGATCGGTTGTCACATTAATGAGGCACCAGAACAATCAAGTAAAGTCAACACATGAAATGTTAATGTGTCATTTGAACACAAATGTGGTAAAGACCAAGAATCAATAGCATCCAATACACATTAATAAGATTTCACATATGGTACAGTAATTTCAATATTTTACTTTAAATGCACATAAGCAGAGAATTATCCATCTACTTGTGCTTTTTGGATTAAAAACATCCTCGGCAATTGTCAGGATGTAGCTGTCCAGGCAAAATGCAAGTACCCCTCACGTGCACTTCAATTGAGTGAAAGGCAGAGCTACGTAACACTGCCTGGCTGCCTTCCCCAGTAATCACAAACCTGACACCAGAGGCTTGTGTGCGATAAACCACAAGAAGAAAATACAAGATTAAAAGCTTTGCCATAAAACCGGTACAAAAAATTAAAAGATATGCGACAGGTATAGATTCAGTGAACTAAAGCTAATGACATCGAAAGGAAAGTACAAGTAGTAATATGTTCATCGCATACAAGATATTGAGGGGAATAGAATATGTCGATACTACTCCTTTCCAGGCAAGAAGAATAAAATGAGGTCACAGGAGGAAGCTAGTAATACCTAGCCCCAGAAGTGTTGAGAAATGTTTTTTTGTGTGAGTGTTCAATAAGTAGAATAATTTTCAGCAAATGAAAGTGGAAGCAATCACCTGTTTCAAGAAGTATGACATTCTGGAAAATGTTGAGGTATAAATGCACCAAGTACAATAAAGTGGGGCTCTAGAGCTGGATCTCATTCCTCTAGACACATGTGACATGGAGAGCATTGCTTGGAGAGAAATTGAGTAGCAACTACATCCTCTTCTTCATAACAATCATTTTCTTAATTTCTTAATTTTGTCACAATAATATTTATATTACAAGTTTAGGAGGGTAGGTATGAATCCCTGCAGAGTACACAACTAATAACTGAATAGACGACATGTAAATGAAAACAATTTTGAAGTGGCAGCTTAAAGTGTTGGATAAAATCGAGAAGCGACCATTTCTGCAAGAAAAATTTCTAACTCAAGACTGACTTATTTAGGGGTTTATACTTTGCCAAATATGGTATGTATCAGAAATGTGCACAAGTTACGTTTAAATTAGTTTAAGGAAACAAATTTGCAATCTACGAACCACATACTTATTGCCAAGAGTCGTCTTCCTTATTTTGGTACTGCCGAAATTTCGTCGCACAAAGGATGTCAACACTGTAAAGAGCACAGCAGCTCCAGACACAAGAACCTGGAAATATATTAATGTCAGAACAAATTACTTCAAAAATATTTAAACAATGTTTCCATTATGGAAAAAAAACAATCTAGCCACTTATATACTTACAAAAATTCATTCTCTATGGAGGTTTCCATTAGGGGGCTGCCATGATCTAACAGCGTCTTGGCAATGCTTTGTAAACATACAACTTGAGCCTTCTGTTTCCATTTAACTAGCATAAAACAATAGAATACCTATTGGCCCACATGAGAGAGCTCATATATTTTATACAAACACACAGCTAGCTACGAGGAATGGCTAAAGGAGTTGAACCTTACATCCCTGGAAAACAAGTAAGGGGAGACATGATAACCACCTACAAAATTCTCAGGGGAATTGACAGGGTGGGCAAAGACAAACTCTTCAGCACAGGTGGAATACGAACACGGGGATACAGGTGGAAACTTAGTACCCAGATGAGCCACAGAGATGTTAGAAGGAATTTTTTTAGTGTCAGTAGTTCATAAATGGAACGCACTAGGAAGTGATGTGGTGGAGGCTGACTCCATACATAGTTTCAAATATAGGTATGATAGAGCCCACTAGGCTCAGGAATTTGTACACCAGTTGATTGACGGTTGAGAGCCGGGACCAAAGAGACAAAGCTCAACCCCCCGCAAGCACAACTAGGTGAGTATACACACAAACCCATTCATATATCCTTCTAGTCTAATTTTGAAACAATCAGATGCTCTAATCTGTTATGTTACCCAGTAATTTGTTCCATATATCAATATCCCTACTTACTCTCCAATCTGCTTTGCTCTTTAATAATAGTCATGCAATACAATCACTTATCATTTTCCTGTTATATGTTAAAACTTCCATAAGAAAATGTATATACAATTCTTCTAAACAACACACATAAATATATAAATGTATTTAATTGGTTAAACAGTATAGAGCAACAATTTCTAATTAAACACCAGTCTATCATTCAGACCAGCTAACCCCATGTATGAACAACAATAGTGTAAGACCAGGTAACAACACCCTGAACACCAAGAGAAGCTGCAGGGAATGTGTTATATATTATTATATTAAAAAGGTGATGCAGGAAGCACTGAACAGTGAACATTCGTCTTGCAAAAAACAAAGTGCAGAGCTTTGCAACGAAACTAGGGCCAGAATTAAAAGGGCAAACATACAAAGACAGGTTAAGCCAGAGGGAACAATCTTGCAACACCAGGGAGGAGAAGGAACAGGGGGGAATATAAGGATTAAATTCAACATACTAAGGTGAATGGATAAGGTAGACAAAGACAGCCCTTTTAAAAGAGAAAGTATGACAAAAAGAAATAATTGAAAACTAGCAATGCAAATGCCAAAGAAATGTAAGGAAATACCTGTACCCTGTACCCAACAAGTGGAATACACTGAAAGGTATAAAAGCCACCTCCATCCACAGCTTTAAAAAAAAGTACAAAGCTAATAAAGGATAAAGCATTACACCTCAGCTCCCTGTAGTCCCTGTTAGGTAAACACCAGCATGGGTTCAGGGACAGCAAATCCTGTCTTAAGAACTTTGACAATTCTATGGGGGCAACAAAGATTACACCTGACAAAAGGATGGGTAAACTGCATACTATATTCTGTCAGAAAACCCTCAATGCAGTACTTCAAATTAGATTAGTGCACAAGTTGGAGAAAGAGTAACAGGAAAGGAGCTCCAATAATTCAGAGTACATAAGCAACAGATGAGCATGTCAGTGAGGAGAAAGATGTTAGTTGCGAGACATTACCAGAAGAGCCCCAAAGGGATCACTAATAAATCCTAGCTTGTTCTTGATCTATGTAAATAACTCCTTCCTCTAAATGTTTAGCAGAAACTAAGAAACAACATGATGACCCGGATAAGCTAAAACAATGGTCCAGCAAGTAGCTAATAGTTTAACTCAATCAAGTGCAATGTAATGAAGCAGTGATAGGAATAGGGTGATGATACCTTATGGAAGATTGAACTTTGCTGGAAACAGAATGGACTACAAACTAGGGGCAAGTATAAAATCAAATCTCTCAAGAAACCCACCTCAGACATATGAATACTGTATATGCAAATTTGGCCGACAAAATAACTACCTTTAAAAACTTGATTAATTCAGTTTCAGAATTATATACCTTATACAACATGTCAGACCAATTATGTGGAATGCAGCACCAGCATTGATTTACTAAAACACACAAATTTAGGAAATGCCCCTAAGTATGCCTTCGGACTCTTACTAGAGTTGAGAGGTGCGAGTTACAAATCTAAAGGAATTAAACCTCCCAATAGAGGAGAAAAGATAAAATGGGATACAGTCAACACAAAATTTATCTGAAGAATTATTACCTGAATGAGCCATAGATATTAAGAATGTTGTGTCCATAGTAAAGAAATGACATAAAAGCAAAGACAGATTCATACACATTTTCAGAAATAATTTGACAGCCCAATCGGCTCAGGAATCTATACATTAGTCAACTAAAGTTTGAAAAGCAAGACCAAAGTTGAAGCTAAATTCATGCACACAATTAGATTGAGTACAAAGATAATTTAAATGTGATTTACAATGTGATACTGGTTATACAAGATTATACTATAAGGACAGGCTCAAAAGAATTCAACCTACAAACACTATAGGAATGTGCAGGATACCGAGAAACAAAGGGACACCGACAGACCATTCCAGTCGCACATGAGAATATATGTAGGAACTGGAAGCTCAAATGAGTTGTGGGATTTAAGAAAATACTACCTTATGAACCTGTAATACCACACTGAATGAACTGAAACAACTTACATACACAGGTTTAAATTTAGATGAAAGTCTGATGCAACATTACTGTTTCCTAAGATACATAAAAGTCCTAACTACATAGGCAAGAATCTGAAGGGTGATCTATATAATGGTGGGTAGTCGTAAATGTACACGTGGTGGCGAGATGTCCACGGTGGTGTGATGGCTATATCTATTGTTCATTGAGGAAAGTGTGGGAGGAGGGGAAGTAAGGGTTGGACAGAACAGAAAACTTGCCTGCAGTGAATTATAATCGTTGGCTGGTATGAGTCGTTTTGAAGAACACAGTGCCAACAGCCCAACCCAAACAAAACTTGCAACAGCATCAGTAATCTGTAATTAAAATAAGAAAAAATAGATATGTAATAAATATACAGTAATTAAATTTAAAAATATATAATGTTATAGGAATTTTACTCAACTTCATGGGTTGAGAATGAAGTGATCTCCTAAATGTAATACTTATGAAATTTATTATATTTTACTAATAGGTTTTCTATAACTTTTAGAGCAAAGATCATTCTAAATTTGTCTAAACATCTACTATATATGAATTGACGAGTATTTAAACCGATACTTCTGTAATATTAATTCCAACAAGAAATTTAGAACTGTCCTGTAATTACAGGACAGTTCACAAATTTTCACAAATTTCAGATCCCTTTTCACAAAATAACTGGCTACCTCGCCCCTAACTTCTCAGAATAGAGGTAACTAATCAAAAACTGCTGCAACAATCACCAATGAACCTGCATGAAATTCATTAATATTTTATGAGTGAAACCAACAACTGGTTCCAAGTTCAGTGTGAGCATTATCATACCTGCAAGTTTCAAATGGATAAAACAACGCCATTCATTACTCGATTAAACAAATTATTTCTAGCACAAACATTTGCTTATTTTATTTTAGCTAATTGCATATTTGATTTCAGATCTACAGAGTTTAATATTGTTAAACACACACACTAATAACTGCAGTTCAAACATAAACCAGCAATAGACTACTATAACTTCCCAAACTAAAAATTTTATTTGAACAACGCCATCAACATCCCATCTTCATATTTCCTACAAATCACATCAGTTTGGCACTTTTTTAACCTAGACTATTATTTAATATATGAAATAAAACACTGAGGGTTCACAAGTTCACTTTTTTTTAACTTCATTTTTTCATATATAGCCCTAACCTAATTTTGAGTTGATCTCAACTGTCCCATCAATCAGTGCAATTCAATGACTACTTTTCCTACTTTACTCTTCATATTCACCCGTGTGTCTTGAAACTCTGAAACATCCACACCTTTCATATTATCATCCATTTTCCACATGATTCACAAGGTAATGCTTATCTTGTTAAACATCTGTACATCAAACAAAAGAGTACCAAAAAGCATCATTCAAAAACAATCCATACCTGTAGAGCTTCCTTTCCAAAAGAACAAATGCTAACAAGAAGCAACGACAGTCCTGCAACAATCAGGGGTGACGAATACTTGTGCAGGCTGCCGAGGTACACTTCCAAGTCCACACCAAAGTTTAGAGACACCAGCTGTACACCCGAGTGCTGCTGCAAGTGATGCAAGTTGCACAGAAATAGTGATAGAGATATCACAATTCCCATTACATGAAGTAGATGAAGGTAAAATAGGTTTCTTTGTTGTCCACCAGTACTATTCTGTAAAAAAGTAAAATATTCATACCTATTAAGAAAGCTAATGGGCTCCTGAAAAGGTACAGTGATGCCAAAAAAAAAAACAATTCGTGGAATCCACGCCTAATCTTAAACTTGAGATGGCTGGGAAGGGGCATGATCAATAATGGTCTTGCACATAGTGTACAATCCATTTTTCTGTTTGCATAGTAGTTTTTGGACCTGTCCTTTAGGAGTAGACTCGGGCAGAAACTCCCCAGACATTTATGCTTTCAAGTACCAATATTAATACTTTGAAGTAGCACTTTAAACAGTCCTCATGCTAGGTTCAACTCATATACATTATGTAACCCCATTTAATCCCTTGAACTATTAAGTAACATTATACAGAATGGATCAGGATCATGTAGTACAATGTCAATGAAGCAGGCCTTTAGAACTGGATCGTTTTTTCTAAGACAACTAAGCACCTAATGTAGGAACATGTCTAGTTCCCCTTTAAATACACCATTACTGGTACCTATATCTGGATACAGGTACTGCCAAACAGAAATTTTTATATTTTCAGGTTAATTAAAAACTTGATAGGCTCTATTGGTCTCACACCTATCTAATGGTCGTGGAACCACAAATCTTCTAAGGGTTTACTATACACTTCTATAGTTACTCCATTAAGTTTTTATTTGATTGTGCAAATTAGGGACCTTTAGTATGTACAGTGGACCTTCCAAAATATTAGATTAAATTGTTATGGATCCAATCTGGCTTCACAAATACTGTAATTACTTTTGTATTTATAAAATTTTAGTTATTCACCCAAACAAAAATTAATTTTATTGTAAATATACATAATGGGTTTCCAACAACTATTTTCCTTAATGCCAATCTATGAAATCATTAAAAATTAATTCCACTAATTGCAAGTAATGGTATTCAATTATGTCTTAAAATGAAAGATTTGTTAATCAAAATTTAATGTAATTCTAAATGTTTAAAATATGAGAGTCTTGTGAATTTTATTTGTTACACCTTATAGGCAAGGTGTATGACAAGATGGGACATCAACCTTTCATCCCATTTCCACAAAAAATAAGCTAGTAATTGAACAAGAAATATTTAACATTTTATTTACTGTGCCTATCTCAAACATGTCAAACCAACTCCACACTACTGACACCATCACAAGAATGAGTCGGTGGAACCATGGGCCATGTCACTACAGTGACCACAGATAGTTTGCTGACCAACCAACAAGTGTACTTCAACCGAGTTCTGAGCCATGCTCAACTAAACACACCACACAGCCAGGAGCAGGTACACCTCTGAATATTGGTCCATTATCTCCATTGTTTATAACCCAGCCCATCCTCTCGAGATGCCACAACAGATAGGTTTTAATACTCAAATTGTATGACGGTTGAGACATAACCAATTACAGGCGAGTAGGCCTCTGACATCACTCCATACAGAGCCGGCACTAGCCGCACTCCAAGCAGGCCTCAGTATCTCTTGAGACCAGAGTTAGGGTAGGACCTCGGCAGGCTAGATATATACCTTGTTACCTTACTCAGTAAACTACTGAAGTGTTCTACTGTGTATATCTACAATCACCATACATCCAAGAAGGCAACGAATATAGAAAATGGTGTACTAAAACATCCAAATCATATTTTGTCCATTAAGGATTCTGCTGTCAAAATGCTATGTATTATACAAGGGGACTGTTTGTATAACCATCAGTTCATATAATTTCTCGTAGGTGATCGGCCCTTTTTCCATGGATGCAGCTGTATGATTGAGCGGCAGAGAAAAAGAGTTACCTACACCCGTGAGTGGTGGAACCAAAAATACTACAAAAATACTCTGTTAGCAGGCAGGTGAACAATGACCCATGTATTAAATATGCAAACAAGATAAGTTTTAAATGAGAGTTCAGAACCCCCCCCCCATATAGCCTCCCAAATGTGATTGTAATACAGTATTACGACTTAAAAAGTTTAATCCGTGTGCTGATCTGTGGTTCAACTAGAAGGCCAGCCATTGTTTGACGAGGGTTATCAATGGTGGCTCTAAAGGAAGACCTTAGTCAAGTAATTTCAGACATTGATTCATTACTTAAAACTGCAATGCCAAACCTCAAAAGTTGAACTTAAAATCTTTTTATAAGCCTGGCATTCATGTTTTGCATAATTCATTCTCTAACTGGTCACTACCACTAAACAAAACCAGCTGAGAAGTAGCTCAAAAACTTACTTTTTAACAGCAAGCACAATACAGGCATACCTCAGAATAAGAGTTTAATCCGTTCCTGGAGACGCCTCGCCTTCCGAAAACTTGCATTCCGAAGTTAATTTCCCCATAAGAAATAAAGGGAAATGAATTAATCCGTTCCTGACTACCCCAAAAACCCCACATCAAACTAAATTTTTATACCTAATTTACCTAATTCATCTAAATAAACCTACAAAACTGTGTTCCAGTTATTACTTACCTTGCTGTCGAGTGCTGTAGGCGTATGGAAGATGGTGAGGAGGGGGGAGGAGGAGAGGAGTTACTGTTTGGAAGGGGAGTCCCCTTCCATAATCACATCACATAACCCCATGCCTTGTAACACTATGGATACCACTTCTCTTTCTAAATTTTTCAAACCAGCCCCTGCTTGCCTTAAACTCTTTCTTATCTGCATCACTCGTTGCAGGGGTATTCTTTAGAAGGTCTTCGTGCAACACCCTGGCTTTCTCACAAATAATGGCCTCCGAAACACTATCACCCCTCAACTCCTTGTCGTGTATCCAAATTAATAACAACTTTTCCACTTCAAGTATTTGTGGTCTTTGTGCCGTTAATGTTCTTACTCCTTTTGCCACTTTAGCACCCATAATCTTATTTTTCTTCTTAAGTATAGTGCATATTGTTGATGTGGCTTTGTTGTACTGCCTACAAAGTTCAACAACACGTGTACCGTTCTCATGCTTCCGAATGATCTCTTGTTTCTCCTCTATTGTCATCCTCACATGAGCTTTCTGGCCTTTATCCTTACCACTGGCTTTCTTGGGACCCATGGTGAGATATATAATAACAAATTGTATAGACAAATCACCAAAAATCCAACAAAACACTGAAAATCCGCAAGAAGAATTGATGTGGGGGTAGTCACTGAGCGCGAGACAATAATAAACTGAGGGGCGGAGGGGCGACGAACGCGCTAGGTCGGCTGTACGCGTATCAACAAACTCGCGTCCAAACTCGCCTCCCGAAGTAACCCTCGCCTTCTGAGACAAATTTTTGGAGTAAATACACCTCGCCTTCCGAAAACCTCGCATACAGGGACAATCGCATTCCGAGGTACCACTGTACTTACAAAAATTTGATTTAAAGTACATGAACAGTATAGAGAACAGCATATGATATGAGAATAAATCTTGTTCCCAAGTCATGAAATTTGTGTAATAACCTAAAATTTAACATTTATCTTAAATAAATAAATTATATTAAATGGTACTATTAATTCTATTACTTACCGAAAAAAGTCTCGTCTTATTCTCAGATGTGAGATATAGCCTCCAAGATATAAGCCGTGGTTTAAGCCAGGAATCCTGTTTGCCAAGAGTCTGGTGGAGTGTTGCTTCACACTCCCTGCAGAGGGCATAGGTCCTCTCCAATCTTTTCCTAAGGTATAAATTATTATATGAATCTTGTACTTAGAATACATTATTACCTCATTTCCCACATTCATGAGGTGGGGAGGTATCAGCCTGGAGCAAAAAGTAAAGTTGTACTGTATATTAAAAGAAGATTATACATGTTAAATCATAAACCATTAGAAATATCATTAAATCGAATCATTATACTGTATAATTCACGAAACTAAAAGGGGCATATAAATATATTTATGCCCTTCTAACAAACCGCTGAAAACCAGCCCTGTCACGTAGTCATGTGCTTCCCCACACACTTCTCTTGTTCTAATACCCCTGGGGCCATGTTTGCCTACCCCTTTCCTGACCTCCCCTCTCCTCTTTAAGGACACTTTAAATACACTAATTTCAGCAGTCATCCATTTATTCCACATGGCCAAACCATTCTATATACAGTACTCATTGTTACCCTCTACTCTTCTAACTTCATTTTCCATGTTTGTACAACCATGCATACGTCAACATTAACACTTCCAGGCAGACTAGTCACTATTCTTTGCCAACAAAGCACACTACTAAGTGCACAGTTCCCTCTTTTAGCTATTACAGGTCCCAGGGATTTAAAATGATTAACGACCTTCAGCATTTCATCATTCACATTTATTTCATACACAATTTCTATCTCCCTCTCCACAACTATTTTTTGTACACATTCACAACAAAGTCTTTTCTCACACACCTAAATAGCATTTTCTATTAGTCGACATCGATTTTCCACTCTGCTAAAATAACTATATATATTGTACCTTAACGTTAACAAATTCCAATTAGTACTTACACTAGGCCTATAACACAAGGTTTACACCCATCTAGCACTCTTATCTTGACCCCCACCCATGTACATAATAATCAACCAGGTTGACACCACACAACCCTACCATACAATGGACCTGCCACAAACCTAGCTATGATTTATAATAATAAATAATAAAAAAATTGAAATAAGCTACATGGAATGAATCAAAATTTGCACCTGTTTTTTCTAATCACATTTCTGACCATTTTCAATTAATGGTACTTATCCATGACAACTTTTCCCTACAACTATTTAAATACTATTTAAAAATAGAATGAAAACGTTTAATGGGCACTTCTTACCTATAATCTTCTATTTCCTTGTCGTAATTATCAGGATGAATTGGTGTATAATCCGCTAATGCTCGTATTTTGAGTGTTTGATTGAGATTACAGGTGTGACACAGTCCATTACCATGTGCTAAGCTTGTCTGACTGCTAGGTTTCTTTTCTCTTTGCTGTGCTAATGGGGTGTTCAAACTTTCACAGTATTGCGCAGGAATATCCCGATTGTAGTCCCCTTCCTGCATCAATCATAAAATTATACAATTATTTAAAATGTTAGTACTGTAACTTTATAATAGAATAATAAAGAATTTTTTAAAATGAATGAGACCAAGTGAATCCTGAATGTTAATTTTTTGGAGTTGAGCTGGACAGAATCATGCTGTTAAATATGCATACCCAGAGTATCTCAAAAGTATTTACAGTGCACGAACAGACTGATATCACCAGAGGAACACAAAGGACATTGTGTGAGGAGCATATGCTATGCTTTCCAACTTCAAAATCACTTTGAATTACATAGATGGTGAAGAAACTGATAGGTACTAAAAAAACTGTTCATGACTTTTGTAAGACCAAAATTGGAATATGCAGTAGTTGTATGGTGCCCATATCTCAAGAATCACATCAATAAACTGGAAAAGGTGCAAAGGCATGAAGGTTATGTAATGTTTTCATTCAAAAAATCTTCAAATACTAGCTAAATATGTTAGCAATAGTAACTAAAAAGAGCTAGAAATTGAAAGTAAAATTAATCCTACTGTCAATACCTATATTGCACTTTTTTGTTTTTATATACTATGTACTTCTTGCACTCTACCATCCTATCAAATTTCATGTAAATCTGGGAAGGTCGGGTTGGGAACTGTGATGACCCCGAGATGATAAAAAGATGCTTTATATTTAATTGAACCAACATTCAGTTTGTTAATGATATATTGTCTGATTGAACAGTACTGTACCAGAACTAGAAAAAATACAACAATATAGCTATATACTATTTTTATTGATATTAAAGCATAAAATTGTAAATAAAAATTATACAGCTACTATAATATACTAGTACTTCTGAATTAACATTCTATATATAACTTTAGCATAATGATTTTTTGTATATAAAAAAAAGAAAATGGAACTCACTTCATTAAATCCATTGTACTGTTGGCAAGAAGGGCAAATCCACCCTTCCTGGTATCTGAATTCAACTTTTGTGTCATTGTTACAGAACCAACAATTGACTTTGACCGGAAAACGTTGTCTGGAAGAGTAATTTGTTTTAAACTTCATTCTAACCTTTTAAAAATAAATTAATCAAAATACTCTGTTAGAACAGTAGACCTAAATGAGTTAAAATGGATAGGCATAAGTTTATGGGTATGCATAATTCACTGAGTAAAATTGGAAGAAAGAATGTAGAGTAAGATAATTAGGACAAATAATAAACGAGGATTTAACATAGAATCTAACAGTGGTTTGCCAAATTAAAACTTTCAGGAGAGCTATTCCACATGAGATGGACTAATTTTGAGAATGACCTATGATTTATCGTCAATCTTGCTGAAACTACGTGTAGACAGTCATGTTTTTAAATGACCCGAGCTAAATGTTATATAGAAGAGGCAATAGAGCCTTCTTGGTGTAGGGCCTTTTGCCAATATAGAACAAGAACATATGAATATGGAAACTACAGGAAGCGTATTGGCCTATATGAGGCAGCTTCTATTTATATTCACCCAAACTCAATAATATATACAAGTAACCTACACTTTGAAGAATCCATTGATCCCACATCTATTAAGTAACCATGTAATTTGTTCCATTAATCAATTGTCATCTAAAGCCAGTATTTACCCAGAACTTTCCTAAATCTAATATCAAATTTATATCCAGTTTTGCATTTTAATCTTTTGCAGATCAATTTAACACTTTCGCGCTCTCGGCGCTCAAAAAAAAACAATACCCCAGATGCTTTCGGCACTTCGCGCGCCTACGCGGTAAGACCGAAAAAGTGTACACTCTTTTGACTGTCCTGACAACAATTGAAGGCGCACGTATTTAAATTTGGTATCACTGTGTTCACAATGAAATTGTCTATAAGAGCATATCTATAAAATGCCGCCCAAGCATAAGGAGTATCAACACCAAATAAAAAACTATGCAGATCACTCGCCGAGAGCGCCAAACAGCAACAAAATGTTTCCACTCTCTTAATGGTTGCGAAGCCTACAGTTGTCCTACATCGCTAATTTTGGTGTCATTGGAATCGCAATAAAATTCTCTACACGGACATATGCATATGAATGTTTAATATAGGAAATTGCCCACCCGCAAGAGTGTGTGAAGTGGAGAGTAGTTAGCCGCGAGCGCACTGGCGAAAACACAGGGGGGAAATCATGCTTGGAAAGTTTATACGTTTCCTGACCCTACTTTTCTATGTACGTATTTCTTTTTTATACCAATGTGTTCGCAATAAAATTTTCTATAAGATGAACTGTATAACATTTGTACAAAGCATGTGTAAGAGAAGCGCCAAATATAGAACCACGTCGCTCAGTATGCGTTCGCGACAGAAACGAACGCATTGTTTTCGTTCGTTTGATGTTTGTCATGTTTATACTTGTTGAAACATTTTATAATTTGTATGACAGTGATCGCAGTAAAATTCCCTACACAGACATATACATAACACATACAAATATTTCCCATGTGTTGGATATATCAACGGCTAAAGGGAACCCACTGCCACACGCTCGCCACACCCCCAAACATACTTTGTGTATTTTTTTTTTTACTCATAGAAGTTTATGTGATATAATATTCATTCTGGTACCAAAAAAATCGCAAATAAATTCTCTACAAAACAAAAGTATCCCCATCCATTTCGGTTAAAAAATGGAATTTATAGAAATATTTTTTCGATTGATGAGAAAAGTAGGCTGTTATGCGGAATCGTAAGAAAAAACAGCGACGAGTTATCTCTAATCTAAAGCGCGAAAGTGTTAAAACCTTATTTATATCCCTGTTCATCTATTTATATACGTCAATCCTATCAAAGTTCCATGAACAATATTCAACTATTGCAGTTACATAAATATTTTATTAACTTGTACAAAGTTTTAAACTACTGTATATCAAATGTTTTATTTTGGATTTTAGGGCACTGGAATAGTGAGGCAAAGTGGCCATCAAATGACCAACAAATTTGAGCCACTTTCAGTCTACATTAAGGGGCCGTCAGTTTTTAAAAGTTGTTCAGTGTCAACCAATATTTTTTGACTAGTTGTATATGAAAAGGGCTGCAATTGTTCCAAGTTTCAGTACTGCAGCCTAAATAGAAAGGGAGATTTTAATTTGTTTATTTTTTTTTCAACGAATATTACACATTTTCAAGTGTTTATAAACGACCACACCTTTCAGATACAGTATAATCATTCTATGACACTTTTCTGTAACATTAGCATATAATAAAAGATATTTAGGAAGGGATTTTCCAAATCATCTTTAGTTTTCCTAATGCAAATAGTCAAGTTCCCCCCCCCCCTCCAAAAAATGCAAATATATCATGTTTATTGCCACGTGTTTGATAATCGTTTTTGACCATTTTGGAAATTTTTTGACAATTCAATATTTTTTTTCTCCATTCCTATTTATGCTACGATGCTGAGACTCGGACCAGATGAAACCCTTTTCATGTACAACACGTCAAAAAAGTTTGATTGAAATCGAACCAGTTTTCATTTTTGGCATATATGAATTTGACGGCCCCTTAAGTTTATGACAGAAAATGACAGTAATTTGCTTATTGACAGTTGTCACAAATCTTATAAAAACACTTCTAGAATAGTTTTAACAGTACTCACTCCCACAAAAATAATCAAATTTATACCAGAAACTAAATTTTAAAACTATCTGTATTAAGGTTTGAGTCTCACCAAAAGCATATATTCAGTGTTTTGTTTTCAACATTAGACAGCTTTTTTTTTTTTTAGATCTGCTACAAGCTTCTATTATTTTTTATGCTTTTATTCAAGATATAAAATATGGGTTTAAAAATAGCTATATTTTTTCCAAGTAATTTCTTCCGCATAATAATAATTAATATATATTGTGTCGAGGGACAGGAAGCCAGAGTGTATTCATAAGCGTTTGGATTTTATTGAGCCCCCCCCCCCACCCAGGCCGAATTACTGATCCCACCCAGGATACAACCCCACAACAAGCTAACTCCTGAGTACCTACTCACTACAAGGTGAACAGAGGCATTAGGTGAAAAGAAATGTGCCCAACCATTTGCTATCTGTCTAACCAGATACGAGAAGTCTACAAGTTACTATACAGGTACAGTATTTAATATCATCAGCTGATGACCACTAAGCCTTACAACAGCCTGCTCTCTCATGCCTGCCTGATCATTTGTCCACAAAAATATTTAAATTTATGAAGTTTCCAACAACTATTTTAATAGAATGAGACCCTTTATCAAGTGATGGATATACACCAATACATTAGATACAAAACAGCTTCCTACGCAAGACATTTTGGAGGAATTCATAGCCAAAGCTTCTAATATTTCCAACAATTTTATAGCAAAATACCAAAGTTGTCATTTAGAATCAAAGAGTGAAAAAGAAAGCCTAAAGATCAATGAACTAATTTTTCTGCTGATTTGTTGAATATTATGCATTTACTGTACAAGAGGTCAATAAAGGTTTCATAACATACATTTGCTGTATACCATAAATTTATTAAAGGTTACAAATATTAGCTTGTTCATAATCAAAGTGACTTAACCCCAAGATGGTTCCCCCAATGGATTTTAAAACCATATTCAACCTAACTTATCCAAGCCTAACAGACAACATAACTGCTATATACATATTTTTGCCAATCAGAAAAAGACCTTTGTTGAACCCTCTTGTGTATAAATTGACCATAACCCCCCTATTTAAACTACCTTCTCTACTGTAACCAGTGTATTTATATTTATTTATATAAACAAAAGTTGTTACATTCTTGTAAGGCACGCACAGTATTTCCGGCAAGTCTTTAATACTAATTCCCCCCAGAATACAACCCGCCAAATCGTTTAACAAGGTACCCATTCACTGCTGGGTTAACAGAGGCTAAAGTTAAGGATTGGCGCCCAGTTAATCCTCCCCGACCAGGATACGAACCCGGGACGAGTTTTTTACAACCACGCCACGGGGACTGAATGACGACTAACTTTTTTAGTGAAATGAATTGTGGGGTACAGTCCCTGACCCCATTATGTGCCCCTGTAACCCCTGCCCCTTACAGGATGGGTATGGGGTGCATAATACATTACTGTAACCCGTACCCTTGTCAGGGTAAGGTAGGCCGATACATCCACTTGGATGGTTACCTAATGGGTTTTAACCCCCCTCCCTAACGTTGCCCAATAATATTTACGATTTTATAATTAGAAAAACGAGTTGTGTTGAACGTGTGAACAAATGTGAGCACCACTGCTAGAGGTCAACGTTGGTGGTAGATTAACACTATTTTAGAGCCAGCGGCCCAGACCAGGCCTACCCCCCCCCCCCCAATGACGTGACTGGTGGCTGACACCGTCCACCAACCACACAACCAGCCCCACCAACCACCACGGTAGGAGGGTAAAAATGTGCAATATATCACCTGATCTTGCTATAGAGCACAGCAGAGCCCGCGAAGACGCCCGAGGCCCCCGCTATCACCGGCAGTATCATGTCGTAGTCCATGACCGAGATCTGGCGATATACCCCCGCGCTACCCCCTCCCGTAACCGTTCTCTCCCTGGGCAGGACACACACACGAGCCAACACAGATTTAAATGAGTAGAGGCTCCCGCGTCGGTGTCTGCCTCACATGGCCGCCCCTCCAGCTGCCGTCCCCCCCACTGCTGCCACACCACCGTGACCACCACCCTCAACCTTCCCTTCATTCTTCTACCCTTCCCTCTATTACCCTCTTACATTATCCCTCATATTTATCCTTCTAGAACCCATATATATATATTTTCCTGATAACTTTATAGGTTTTGTGATAGTTTAATTAGATTTTTTGAGGACTGTGTTAATGGTCAGGGTTGCTCGTCGGTTTTGGTAATACCTGTAAGCAGGTACAGCCTTGGTTGGATTTAAATTTTGTTTAGTATTTATTTATATATTACCTTGTACATCTACAAAGTGGCGTACATATGCTATTGCGTAGAGCTTTATATGTTATGTAATTTACATTCCCTACATGCTTTGAATAGATTTAGTTCAAAGAAATGTGAAAAAAATATTAACCACACCATCCAGCCACAATTATACTTACTATAAAAAAAGAAAATACGTTTTATGTATGCTTTCACTTTCTCTACACTCAGACGAAAACATTCAATAAAAGCTTTAATATTCTAATAGAGCATCACGACATATATTGTAAACATATACGTATTGTAAAACTTTACAATAATGGTCCTTGGGTGGTTTTGTTTTGATGTGGTCGAGGAGAGGCGGAGTGCTTGTGTGAGTGTGAGTGCTGGCTGGAGTGCCTCGAGCCCCCTCACTGTACAACTGGCAGACTTACCCAGGAGGATCTTCACACATGGTGCCGGGATTTCAATGCCCTACCGGTATTATTGAGGAGAAAATCAACAGTAGAGCTATCTGACCATCGCAACCTGACCAATAACAGTGCCACAAGGCCATCACAACCTGACCAATAACAGTGCCACAAGGCCATCACAACCTGACCAATAGCAGTGCCACAAGGCCATCACAACCTGACCAATAGCAGTGCCACAAGGCCATCACAACCTGACCAATAACAGTGCCACAAGGCCATCACAACCTGACCAATAGCAGTGCCACAAGGCCATCACAACCTGACCAATAGCAGTGCCACAAGGCCATCACAACCTGACCAATAGCAGTGCCACAAGGCCATCACAACCTGACCAATAGCAGTGCCACAAGGCCATCACAACCTGACCAATAACAGTGCCACAAGGCCATCACAACCTGACCAATAGCAGTGCCACAAGGCCATCACAACCTGACCAATAGCAGTGCCACAAGGCCATCACAACCTGACCAATAACAGTGCCACAAGGCCATCACAACTTGACCAATAACAGTGCCACAAGGCCATCACAATCTGACCAACAATGATGCCACAAGGCCATCACAACCTGACCAATAACAGTGCCACGAGACCATTACAACCTGATTAACAGTAGTGCCACAAAACCATCATAACCTGACCAATAACAGTGCCACAAGACCATAACCTCACCAATAACAGTGCCACGAGACTCACAACCTGACCAAAAACAGTGACACTAGACCATAACCTGATCGATAACAGTGTCACTAAACCATCACAACCTGACCAACAGTAGTGCCACAAGACCATCATAACCTGATCAATAACAGTGCCACAAGACCATCATAACCTGATCAATAACAGTGCCACAAGACCATCATAACCTGATCAATAACAGTGCCACAAGACCATCATAACCTGATCAATAACAGTGCCACAAGACCATCATAACTTGACCAACAACAGTGCCACAAAACCATCACAACCTGACCAAAAACAGAGAGACTAGACCATAACAACCTGATCAATAACAGTGTCACTAAACCATCACAACTTGACCAACAGTAGTGTCACAAGACCATCATAACCTGACCAATAACAGTGCCATGAGACCATCATAACATAACAATAGTGCCACAAGATCATCACAACCTGATCAACAACAGGGCCACTAGACCATCAGAACTAAACTACCATCATTGGTACTAGACCATTACAACCTGGCTAGCAAAATTTCCTTTAGATCTTGACAACTGGACTACCAACAGCTTGATTAGAGTTAAAACCGTCTTGAATTCACATAAATATACTGTACATATTTATGATATATTTGATTTATATATTTGTATATATTAACAAACTCTTGCATTCATTAGTAATTTCCCCAACTTATGCTGCCCAAATTAACTAATTACTATAGTAACGAGATGCAAAGAATAATATTCAATCTGGAAATTACCACATTTAACTCTTTCCCTTAAAATAATTTTTTTTTAAGTTCCTTAATCTTTATAAAATATAAATTACTTTTCTACTGCAATTACTCAAGTTATAGATGACCTAGTTTTGGTTAGGTCTATATTATTAGGGCATAATAGACTTGGCTATACAGTAATACACTTAGGTCTAATTTATTTATCTCGATTGGCTTAGGGAGATTTTTTTTTAATTAACAGGTACCAGCTGGGGGGTGGGGAGGGGGTTGAAGGAAGCTTTATCCTCCTGGATTTTCCACCATCTCCTCAGGACCTAACCAAGTTAAATAATGTAAATTATGTTATTTGCTTAGCCACTGAATACGAGACGATTACCTCATTAAATGAACCATTGGGGGCATCGTAAATTGAAGTACTGTATCCCTGGTGACTATGAATTGAGTGAGGAAAAACTGATTTATTACACTTCAGATACAGACTCTTTATTCAGGCAAAGGTACATACATTGCAGATGAGTTACAAACATAATGTTGGATTTAAAGAAAGAGCTAGTACATACAATACCTAAAGCCACTATTGTACACTTATTGTTTATACCCAATAAACTTATTGTACAGACATATAAACATAAGAATTAAGGAAACTGCAGAAGGCCTATTGGCCTATTCAAGGCAACTCCTATGTATATCCACCCAAACTCATTCATTTAGAGGATCTTGGACGTATGGTTAGGTTTGTTCACGACTCTCAATTGGGAAGCTTGGGTTCAAATCCCAGGCAGAGTAGAAATGGTTTCTATTCATTTATGTACTTCAGTCATGTCACTGTACTGGTTTTACTCCCAGTTCTCAAAAACTCCCTGAAATCATTACACCTGTAACTCATTAAAAAAACAGTTCATATTGTATGATTTGCCTGGCAGCCTGGGGATTACAGTACCTTTCTTGATTGTCATCATGTGAAATTAGTCTACCATAAGCCTCTTTATCCATTATCAACATTGTTTATGCATGTCAAGCATGTTCAATATTGTATTAATAAAATATTTCTTAGTTTCCCTGTGCACATTCCTATATTTCATTATTTCTCAGATGTCCAGATAAGCAACATGGCTCAGGCACAAATACAGCAGCATCAACAGCAGCAGCAGCATCAACAACAGCAGCAGCAGCATCAACAGCAGCAACAGCAGCACCAACAGCAACAACAACTTCAACAACAGCAACAACTTCAGCAGCAACTTCAACAACAGCAACAACTTCAACAACAACTTCAGCAGCAGCAACAGCAGCAGCAGCAACAACAGCAGCAACAGCAACATCAACAGCAGCAGCAGCAGCAGCAAAAAGGAAACCCACCTGCAGATTTTGGGCCAGACAGTGGTGGGAGAATAAAGGCAAGTTTAAAAAATAAAAGTTTGATCCAAAAAAGGAAATATGAACTACAGCATTCATACTATAAACCCCTTAGACCGTGGCTATCGAGAAATGGTCATACCTGCCTATGCACAACATTTAAAAAAAAAATCCAACTAATAATTTTTTGTTATAGAATTATTAACTACCTATCATTGGTAGTATGGTAGTACAGTATGTAAGAAAAACATGAAAATAAGTGAATATATTAGTTTCACTGGGTAGAGGTGCTCTGCAAGGCTGTCTCTGGCACTGATCAACACCAGGTGCTCGACTTTGCTGACACATCCTGTTTTATCTTTCAATGTTTCACTGAATGTTTTATCACTTGTTATTACATCCACAGAGAGCTTTTATATCCATGTTTGCATCACACAGTACATGCTAAACCCAGACAATAATTGTTTAAATTATCTTATGATGGCCGCATTTCCCTAGTAACATTCATGACAATAACCACATTTGTACCATGAAATGGTAGCAGGATTTTTCTCATGGGTCAAGGTAAACTCTATTACATCCACAGTGACCTATTATATCCATATTTGCATCATACATGTAAAACCTAGACAATAATTTTGTTTAGATCTTCATATTGTACTGGTACAGTATATCGATAACTGCATTACCCTGTGAATCAACAATTGATGATAACCACTGTCTAAGGGCTAAAGAACTATGAATATACTGTAACTAAGAAATATAAAAATTTTTTTTAGCAAAATTGTCATGTGTAGTGAAGTATTAAAATAAAAACTTACATGGTACATGTAGTCTGGTGAAGAGAGTTTATTCAAATGAATTTGAAGGCGGGAAAAGCATAGCACCCCCATTTATATTCTCCTGTTAGCTGTGGAGAGTACATGAATAAGTGGCACGTACACACAATCTACTGGTAGTTACTGAAATGAGCCAGAGACATTAGAAAGATTTTTTTTAGTGTGAGAATAGCTGTGCGGGAGGAGCTACTGTTTTTTTTTTACTTTTGACCTTGTCATCTTTTAATCAACTGATGTCCGGGTTCTACTGTCTATTAGGCTCTGTTATACAGTATCTGCATTTGAAGCTGTATATGGAGTTTGCCTCCTCTTCTCCATATTTTTGTACATGTTCACTATTCTCACACTAAAAAAAATCTTTCTAATGTCTCTGGCTCATTTCGGTAACTATCAGTAGATTGTGTGTGCGTGCCACTTATTCATGTACCATTAATTCTAAACTAAAATTCTACTCGCCTAGTTGTGCTGGTGGAGGTTGAGGTTCAGCTCTTTGGCTCCACCTCTCGACTGTCAATCAACTGGTTTACAGATTCCTGAGCCTATTGGGCTCTATCATATCTACATTTGAAACTGTATGCAATCTGCCTCCATCTCATCACAACCTAATGCATTCCATTTGTTAACTACTCTGGCACTGAAAAAATTCTTTCTGATGTCCCTGTGGCTCATTTGAGTACTAAGTTTCCACCTGTGTCTCCTTGTTTGTGTATCACCCGTGCTATGTACCATTGTCTTTGCCCATTCTATTTTCCTGAGACTTGTATGTGTGCTCACCTAGTTATTATGCTCATGTGGTGATTATGATGTTTTAACTCCTTTAGTCGTTTTTTGTAGCTCAATCTTCTTGGCTCTAGCATGCTTCTGAACTCTTTCTAGCTTACTCTTTATGTTTGATAAGATAAAGACTTCATACTGGGACTGCATACAATGTTCCATAATTGTTGTTTTTATTTGTGTATAGGAATACTGTTAATTTCAATATAATTTTAACATTACAGGGTTTAACAATTGTGAAACCTTTGGTGTATGGCAATGTAGCACGTTACTTCGGTAAAAAAAGGGAGGAAGACGGACACACTCATGAATGGACGGTGTATGTCAAACCATACAGCAATGAAGACATGTCTACTTATGTTAAAAAGGTAGCTAATTAATGTTTGATACACCACACTTTACTATATGTAATTTGAGTATCCTTGTGTTTTTCATCAGTTTGTACAAAAAAGGGTTGGTAAATAAAGCAGGTTTTCAGACATTCTTAATTCTTTAAATAAAAACTCTTGATTCATCACAGCTTTTGAGGTCAGGAAGCATTTGTGGATACCCATAGATAAGTATGTCATCAGCATACTTTCAAATCAAACACTCTCAGCAATTGCAAAACCATTCCTTGTTTACTTTAGGAGCATTTTGAGTTAGATCACTCATTTGCTACTTTAGATAATGACCTCCCATAGACAGGTCATGAATAAACTATGCTCTCCAGGCATGAATCATGTATTGTCTATGGATGATGAGTACAATGGTGAGAGTAAAGTAAGAATTCCAGAACATGGGAATTCAGTAGAGCATTTGGGTATCATGCACTGAAATGATGCCAATTCCTTGCAACTTGCAAGAACCATCTTGCCTTTGAGTAACTTGCCATTGTCCAGGTAAAATTTTAGTGTTAGAAATCACTTTGCATTCTTTGAACTTGTGTAGGGTGAGGGCTTTCTCCATACTGTGTATTTAAAATTGTTATTAATAGCATGCATAAAACTCAAGTGTTCTCCAACACTTGTTTCATCATTAATAAAATTTATATTTGCATTCCAGATTCATTTCAAGTTACATGAGAGTTACGCTAACCAGAATAGAGTTCTGACAAAGCCACCTTATGAAGTTACAGAAACAGGTTGGGGAGAATTTGAGATTGTCATCAAGATATTTTTCCATGATCCAAATGAAAGACCGGTGAGTGTTTTACTGTGAACAGTGCCTTTTGAAGCTGTCATTTTATCAAATACAGTATTGTTATTAAAGTAGATTTCAGTGTGTACCATTGTGGTAATATTGCATTTTCCTGACTGCAATTGCATGCAATGTTACTAATGTGCATATGGCAGATGCTTCACAAAGCTATTGAAATCCAGCAAAACATGAGAGCCAAGTATGCAGGGCCTGGGCACACAGTTGAGTAAGAGTCCAGGGATGGTCCCTCCTCAGACTTGCTTCACTGGGTCCTGATCTATGTTTGTTGTGGGAATCACCTCAATGCAAATGAAACACTTAAGAGACTCCTTGAGCCCTCGTCATATTTGTAGGGACTAATAGGCAATTTAGTGTTGAAGACACCGGGGCTGAAGGCTTAAGTCAAGTAGTGACAGTACAGTACAGTACTGTATTTAGAAGTAGCTCAATGAAAGATTTTTTTTTCCTCTGACTGGTGTCTAAGGTAAAATAATTGTGTTACTTGGTTCTGCCACCAAGTAACTAAGTGGCAGCACTTTTCTTAGTTCACTTTAGGTTACTGATTCACTCACAAGTGCTTCTGCTTAGAGTTGATCTCAATTTTGCTCTGTCATCAAAGGTTAACTGATACCAGTCTGTTCCATTCTGGTGAATCTCCAGATCTTTTTCGCATATTCAATCAGCTTCAATTGCAATACGTATATAGTTCCAGTGGCGTAGTGGTAAGATGCTCGCCTGGCGTTTCACGAGCACTTTGTCCTGGCTTCGTATCCTGGCCTGGGAGGAATTTCTGGGCGTCAATCCTTAACTATACGTAGTCTCTGTTTACCCAACAGTAAAATGGGTACCTGGTTGTTAAACAATTTGGCGGGGGTTGCATTCCGGAGAGCATAGGATTAAGGACCTGTCCAAAACGCTATGCTTGCTAATGGCTGTACAAGAATGTAAGAACCATTGTATACAGTGGTACCTCGGAATGCGAGTGTCCCTGTATGCGAGTTTTTCGGAAGACGAGCAGGATTTACTCCAAAAATATGTCTCGGAAGGCGAGGGTTACCTCGGGACGCGAGTTTGTTGATACGTGTACAGGCCGACTGGCGCGTGGTGGCGTGGCGATCGCGCCTCAGTTTACCAGTGTCTCGTGTCCAGTGACTATCCCACCTGAATTCTTCACAAGGATTTACAGTTTTTTATCGGTTTTTTGGCCATTTGAGCATAAAAGTTGTCATTATATATCTTGCCATGGGTCTCAAGAAAGCCATTGGTAAGGTTCAACCTAAGAAAATAGCTGTGAGTAGAGGCAGTAGAGGATGTCCCTTCTTGATTAAGAAAATGTGTGAAGTATGGGAAGAACTGCAAAGTTTTGTTGAAAAAACTCGCCCAGATAAAGCTGTAGCAGGCCGTTGCATTGACCTTTTAAATGATAATGTGATGTCTTACTACAGACAAGTGTTAAAATGTAGGGGAAAACAAGTGTCATTAGACAAATTCTTAGTAAAACAAGCAAGTCCTAGTGGTATGCAGGCAAAATGTGCCAGAGTGTGCATACCAGTGAAGTCCTCACTGCCTGATGTGATAATGGAAGGGAACTCCCCTTCCAAACAGTAACTCCTCTTTTCCTCCCACCTCCTCACCATCTTCCATACGCCTACAGCATTCAACAGCAAGGTAAGTAATAACTTGAACATAGTTTTGTAGGTTTATTTAGATGAATTAGGTATAAAAATTTAGTTTGATGTGGGGTTTTTGGGGTAGTCAGGAACGGATTAATTCATTTCCCTTTATTTCTTATGGGGAAATTAGCTTCGGAATGCGAGTTTTCGGAATACGAGGCGTCTCCAGGAACCAATTAAACTCTTAAACTGAGGTATGCCTGTATATAAATAATAATAATTAAAATTAAAATAATAATAATAATAATAATTAATAATAATAATATTCTCTATTGGCATTCCGGACGATCGCTGGTACACTATTGAATGAGATGCAGAGGATAACTTGACGGTGAGGAATTTGATGGTGCATTCTTGTGTATTGGCTAATAGGTAGAATGACACATGTCATAATATTCTCAAAAGAATGTTGATACTGGCTCCTGGAGGAGCTTGCTAGGGCCTCCATGGGGCACAACTGTCAGGTCTATGAACTGACCAAATGCATCACAGCACAAGTGCCATATCCAATCTGGCACCCATGCAAGATTGTAGTATGCAAGTATAGGCATCTGGCAAGAACATGTACCCATACATTGTGGTTAGGAAGGTGACATCATAAATATGTCACAGTTCCCCCTTCTCAGTGGTTGCGACTGACTCCAAAGGTCACTGCTTATCTCTCTCTGCCTGGCTGGCATCAACTCTGCAACAACCTGCACCTTTAAACATGGTGGAATCTTTGACTCAAATTGCTTTGGTATAAATGCTTAACATTTTCGCCTGCCGGCGACACAGTCTGTGTCCGAAATTTTTCTCACGGACATACACTGGGGATGCACATTGCATCCCAAATTAAAAGATTTGTTAAAATTCTAAATTTTATCTGATCATTCTGGAACTGGTTTTAAAATGAGCACCTTTAGATTGTGCACAATTTGATACCATAATGAACGACATAGCACGACAATTGAGGTCAGAACACTGGAAAGACTTTGAATACTTTTGTGGTGATGAGTGTCAAAAATTTAAATATTTGTTAAAATTCCATTTATTGTTCAATTATTATGGGACTACTGTAGTTTCAAAATGCGCGCCTTTATATTGCGAACAATTTGATACCAAAATGAATGCTGTAACACAAAAATTTATATTATCAAACTGAAAAGAATATACACATTAGATTGCTGGTGTGCCAATTGGTGTTCGCTCACGGGTAATGCTTGGCCGACTTTCGGCTTTGCTGTTGGGGGGGAGTTTGCGCCAGGCTTTTGGACCTTATATACATATACTGTACTCCCGTAGGGAATTTGATTGCGAACACTATGATACCAAAATAACTGACGTAACACAAAAATTGAGGTGAGAAAACTGAAAAGAGTATACACATTTTACTGCTCTTGCTCGCTCACGGGTAACACTGGCCAATTTATGGGTTTGGTGTGGGTGGCACACCGGACTTTTGGACCTGATATGCATATACCCCTGTAGGGAATTCTATTGCGAACACTATGATACCAAAATAAACAATGTAACACGAAAATTGAGGAGAAATCTGAAAAGAGTGTACACATTTTAGTCTGACCGTGTGCTGACGAGAAACGCCCGGCGCACACTGAGGTAGATTGGGGCGTGCACGCCGGGGACGCGAAACTGCTAATTCACCCTATCTAATTTTTCACTGGACTCACGGCAGCCTCCATGTAATCACACTGTTGATAGTTTTATAGGCTTTCCAGAGATACCCAACATGTCAGACTTCCATCCAGTAATAGAGGATACAGGTGCTATGCACTGCTCGGTACATGCATAGTGCACTCTGCACTGCAATATGCCACTCAAGTCAGCTGTGGGGAAAATTCTGAGAGAGACAGAGCAGGCATCTTAGTCTTGGGAGACTATGGATTTGCGATCTGGTTGCCAAGGCTGGACTGTCCTCTCCAGGGCACAAAGCCTGGGTAGGTCGATATGGAGAAGAAGCTGTTACCCATGCAGAAGGTTCCCCCCCTCTCCACGTTGCTGAAATTGTCCAATGGAAAGGCAAACGCCAATACTCTTGGTTCCAGTGCCGTCATAATCTCACTACCGCATTGTGAAAAACAATTCTCTAACAATAGTGAGACTACAAAGTTGAGGTAAGAAGGATAAGTGTGTGTGTGTACGTGTACGTACTTACTCGCCTACTTGTGCTTGTGGGGGTTGAACTTCGGATCTTTGATTCCTCCTCTCAATAGTCAGTCAACTGATGTGTAGGTTCCTGAACATGTTGGGGCCCTATCTCCTCCCACTATACTTAGTGCATCCCATTTGTTCATTATTCTAACACTATATACTGTCTCCACTCGATCATCCAGACTATATGGGAAGGACCCCCAGCCGGATTATCACATTTTTCGGATAATGGTACTTTTTCACCTACGAGTCCAAAACTAACTATTTCCAACTATTTTTATACTACAAACAACATGATTTGAATTGCCTTGCCACATATAATTATTAAATATTCAACTAGAAACATCAACTTACCCTGTTGTTGTTCGTCTTCTTGATTGATGCCACACATCTTGAAGTTAAGAATTCTTGACAAACTAACACAGCACTAAAATTAACACTTAAAATTACTGTACAGTTCATTAGGCAAAGTTAGTTTTCACTATCAGCTGCGGAAGCCTCACTGGTTGAAGGCATTTGGCTTGCCTGTGAAGCCTCACTTGTTGAAGGCGCTGGGCTTGCCTGTGACGCCTCACTTGTTGAAGCGCTGGGCTGCCTGGCTTGCGCTGTGCCTGTGACGCCTCACTTGTTGAAGGCGCTTGGGTTGCCTGTGACGCCTCACTTGTTGAAGGCGCTTGGTTTGATTTTCGTACCATATAAGAATCAAGTGTAGCTTGCCTTCTGTGTTCACTGGCCAGTTGTATGATCAGCTCTTTTGTTTGCCTCAGGTACTGATACATGTTTCCAACTTCTGGATGAGCACAATTGGATGAAAAATTTATTAATCCGTCAACATAGGTCATGAGTACACTGTATTTTGTGGTCATTGGTGTTGGTTCTTCTTCTTCCTTCTTCATCCTCTTCGTCGACCTCACCAGTAATAGACTGGAGAATCTCGTCTTCACTCATCACACCATATCCTGGGTCATTGGCATCTTGTTCAAGCCAATCAACCACATCCTGTCTTTCTAAGTTTTTGCCGGCATTTCTAAACATTCCATGGATTTCATCTGTAAATCCTTCAAAATCCATTTCTGCATCCTCCTCATTTCTGACCGTAGACGTGAGGAGTTTTTTCCAGGAATTTTTCTATTCCAGGAAATTTTCTAAGTCGATTCCTTTAATTCACTCCACACCTTGGCCCAGTTAAAGATGGCTTCCTTGATTGTATAGTTCTTCAAATTCTGAAGTTTTTTTTAGCCCTGTTATCCACACCGAGTTCAATATCTTCCGGAAGAGGCAAAACCACCAAAACTTCGTTTAGCATCTTTTTGGTGTACAACCTCTTCGTGGCACAGATAACTCCCTGATCCATAGACTGAATGAGAGAGGTTGTGTTAGGAGGAAGTGCCATACACGTTATCTTGTCATCTAGTGAGGTTAACATGTCAATTTTGGGGTGGGCAGGCGCATTATCAAGCAGCAGCAAAGCCCGAACTTCGCTTGGCCTTACTTTGAGTTTCTTAACTTGATAGGCACGAACTTCCCTGCAGAACACGTCATGAAACCAGGAAAGAAAGATCTCCTGTGTAAACCATGCATTTTGTGAGTTATAATATTTGACTGGCAGTCTGTCCATGCAATGTTGCAAGGCTCTTGGTTTCTTTGATTTGCCAACAATTGCACACGTGATTCTGTCTGTGCCGTCGGCATTCGCACACATCATGGCCGAGAGCCTGTCCTTGTTGACCTTACGTCCTGGCACACAACCCTCACTCCTCATTGCTAGAGTTTTTTCTGGTAAACTCCTCCAATACAACCCAGTTTCATCTGCATTATAAATTTGATAAGAATATAAATTATTTGCCAAAATGTATGCTCTTAATTTCTGTTTAAATGGTTCTACACTGCTTTCATCTGCACTCAATTTTTCACCGACAATTTTCCTCTTCACAATATTGTGCCTACCTTTGAACCTTGCAACCCACCCTTCACTCGCTTCAAAATCCTTTATTCCAAGGCTTGCAGCAAACCTGCTTGCAGCATTTTGTATTTCTGGGCCGAGAATTGTCACGCCAGCTGTGCGGTGCTGAGCAAACCACTTGTACACGGCCTCATCCAACTGTACATGCGTCGAAGTTTTCAGTCTTTCTACCACACCCTCTGCTAGTGCTTGCACCTTCACTTTCACAGGTTGAAATGAATTTCATAATTTTCTCTTTTTGTTTCCTTATATCAGAAACAGTACTAGTGCCTATATTAAATTCCTTGGCAACACTTAAGGTCGACCGGCCATTTTCACAAAGTTGTATAACACGTAGCTTGTCCTTAATTGTTAGGACAACCTTCTTCCTCTTAACACCTCCAGAACGATTGATGCTGCTACCAGACATAGTCTTGGCCAAAAATGTTCAAAGTTACTATGAAAATAAAAAAGTTATTTAAAAAAATATTTCACTAATGGCGCGGCACTGTGGTGTAACACGAGGCTAGAGACCACATGGGTTGACCAGGCATGGACGGGTCCAGTCGGGACAAGGAGGCACGTTATGTAGGCCGCCAGCATGAAAAAAAATATACATTTTTGAAGGAAACTTCAACCAGTGCAAATTGTTGTTAGGAAACTTGTATGGTATTTTTTATTACATAATTATTAATATTTCTTTTGATTTTGGCTATGATGAATTGTTCCAAAATTGATGGTAATTCCTGTACTGTAGTGTATAGGCCGCTCCCATCCCCCCCCCCCCATTATCCCCCCCCCAGGTGGTCCCTCCCAACGCTCCCCTCTCTCCCGACACCACCCACCCACCCCACCCCCTCCTACACCATGCGCCTCGAGTCACGGGCAGACGGGATTAATACGGTACGGCCCGCCTCATGTGTTTCATATACGGACAAAGCCATGATTATCCGGCCGACTGTCTGGATAGTGCAACATTGGCAGAAAATTAACTGGCCCCGATATTTTATCCGACCAAACCAGCTTTTATCCGGTTCCTGTGGCCATTTTGGCCGGATATTGTGGTAACTTTATCCGCTCACGATTTTGGCCGTATAAGGGCGTTTTCCGGATGTTCGAATCCCGGATAATCGCGGGGTTACAGTATATGCCTGTGTTAAACAGTAATGATTGAATATTTGTTTTAGCATACAAATTGTTAGTTGCCATAGATTTAAATGCCTGTAAATTGAGTCTTAGACTCATGTGGTGTACAGCTCAGTATGCATAGTATCTGTAATTCAGTTTTAAAATCAGAGCATTATTCAGTCTTGTTTTATTCTTTACTCATTCTTTTTTTTTTTTTTGAGATATATACAAGAGTTGTTACATTCTTGTACAGCCACTAGTACGCGTAGCGTTTCAGGCAGGTCCCTGGAATACGATCCCCTGCTGCGAAGAATCGTTTTTTCATCCAAGTACACATTTTACTGTTGCGTTAAACAGAGGCTACAGTTAAGGAATTGCGCCCAGTAAATCCTCTCCGGCCAGGATACGAACCCATGACATAGCGCTCGCGGAACGCCAGGCGAGTGTCTTACCACTACACCACGGAGACTGTATTCTGTATGTGAATGGGTTTTCAGCAGTCCTTCTGGGATGTACAGGTATTTGAGTTCTTTTTCAAAGATCTCCCAAATACCTTTATTCTGGAGCATTTCAAAAAGATATCTGTGGTGCTGTGCCAAGAATGCCATTCTGCCAGTTTGAAAGCTCAGAAACTTTTGATAAGGTAATGGGTATCTACCTTCAATGGTAACTTGAGCAAGTACAGAACTCTATCGCTATATTTAGGATGAAAGAATACTTTATGGATAGGATACATAGTATATGCAGAGTAACTGATGCTCAAACCACATACCAGAAGATGAAGAAATGATGACGTTTCAGTCCTTTCTGGACCATTATTAAGTCATATGTATGACATACGATATGATAATGGTCCAGGATGGACCGAAACATCATTGTTTCTTTGTCTTGTGGTGTGTGTGGTTTGGTCATCATATCTTCAGCCACGTTATTGTGACTCATTGTCTGCATGCAGAGTAGCTGTTTACTGGGTGTAAAAAAAATAATTTAAATTTATTCAGCTAAAAATTAAAAAGGAAAAAGTAATGTAAATTAGACATTAGTTGAAAGCACAGCCTCTTGTACACACAACCTACTATTTATTAATTCATCTTTATTTGTATGCTTTTATATGGTTCCACATTCACTTCACTAACATATTTCACACCACTACCAGTATTTTATTTATTTCAGCTATATTTCCTCCTAGTTTTTAATGCATGTAATTCGGATGATGTTATACTCTATAGTATTAACAACTCTACATTTATTTTAGGTTACCATCTACCACATCTTAAAGCTGTTTCAGTCTCCACCTGGCACCACACCACCAGCAGTGCCAAATGATTTTAAAAAACCTCTGGTGTCAGAGTTTTATGAGGAACTCATATTTCAAGATCCTTCAGCAATGATGCGGCAGTTGCTCACCAACACAAGACAACTCACACTTGGCGAGTACAAACATGATACTGATTGTAAGTGGTTTTTAAATGTTTAATAATTCAAGAAAATATTACAATGAATTAGTAATGGTAATGGCTTCTCACAGACATAATAACGTAGGATAAAAACCCACACTTGATTAGACATTGAGATGTCTCGTCCTAATCACACACTCAGACCTTGACAAAGCACTCAGGTGAGTTGAAAAGACTTGGA